AAATTTTGAGGTTATGTTCTTGAATATTAAGCACTTAAGCTTCTGAATTTTGAGGTTAAACTTCTGAATTTTGAGGTTAAGCTTCTGAATTTTGAGGTTAAGCTTCTGAATTTTGAGGTTAAGCTTCTGAATTTTGAGGTTAAGCTTCTGAATTTTGAGGTTAAGCTTCTGAATTTTGAGGTTAAACTTCTGAATTTTGAGGTTAAGCTTCTGAATTTTGAGGTTAAGCTTCTGAATTTTGAGGTTAAACTTCTGAATTTTGAGGATAAGCTTCTGAATTTTGAGGTTAAGCTTCTGAATTTTGAGGTTGAGCTCCTGAATTTTGAGGTTAAGCTTCTGAATTTTGAGGTAAAGCTTCTGAATTTTGAGGTTAAGCTTCTGAATTTTGAGGTAAAGCTTCTGAATTTTGAGATTAAGCTTCTTAATTTTGAGGTCAAGCTTCTGAATTTTGAGGTTAAGCTTCTGAATTTTGGGGTTAAGCTTCTGAATTTTGGTGCTGAACTTTAAAGTATTTCACTAGATCATTAATTTTCCATTTCAATTATCCAAAAAAAAAGTTAATTTTCCATAACGAATATCTCCAAACTACATCAACACAGCTACATCCTACATCATTTCCATCCTACATGCAAAAATATTTCAATCCATCATTCCGTTAACGTTAATTATTCCAAACAAAAGCGGAACAAGTCCGACATTTTGTCTTCTTGTTCTTATCCTCATTCCATTGATATTTGCATTGGATCCTCGACGAACAACTTTAATCTCATTTTCAGAAATAAGCAGCGACTGAAATTAAGTAAAACAATAATAATTTTTTTTGCCATGTCAATTAATGTCCATTAATTAACTCCATCCAAAATATATGTTGACAATTTATTTTTTCATGTTTGTTGGCTGTTGTCGGTCGAGCTGGTCTCATGAGAATTATTTTCGTCATCAACTCCGCTTTTTATAGTCTTATTTAGTCATATGTACAGCGTTGGGGGGCTGTTGTTATGGAATTATGAATGTGGTTAATGTGTACATGAGAAATGGGTTTGGTTCGTTGCTTATGGATACTTTTTATGGATGGGGGGACATAAGGACGCTTTGTGGATGGATGAGTTGGATGTTACATGGATATTTAGATAAGGAGGGGGGGGGGGGGGAATAATAATAGGGATACGAAGAAGTGCTGAAGTAAGCCAAAAACTTGAGTTTTTCTTTAATTCTGATGGTTTTGTTCCTATGAATGAAGTCAAAGGGGAGTCAGATGGGGGACATTGATGGTGAATTGAGGTAAAATCAACAAAATGAGCCACTCCAGACCATATTGGATCCCCTAGAACTTCTTAAAAGCTATGAAACTAGTTGTACAGTAGGCATCTGCCCTAATACATTCAAAAATGAGGGTTCAAAAATACAAAACTTACTCTCAATCCTCCCAAAAAGCAACTGAACTCAAAGCTACAAAAAAAGAGGACAAAACCATAAAGTCGTGACACAAAACATCGTCCATGAATTAATTGACACATAAAATGAAAAAATTTATTAATGAAAATTCACAGATAATATACATAATTACCATCCGCACGTATCCTCACATCCATATTAACATAAATACATACAGCCATGCATACATTAAGGCTCATAAAAGCTTACACATAGACCAGGGGCGTAGCCAGGAATTTAAAGATGGGGGCGGGGGGCAAAAAATTTTATTGTATGGAAAATTTTAAGGGGGGGATTTTGGTGATTTTTTCATAAAAACCCTAGCAAAATTAAGAAATCCCCCCCCCCCCCCTCTGGATACGTGCCTGACACAGAACATTCATGACAACATCAACAATAGTAATCAGCCACAAACACAATTTTACAATTTTTTTTAATCTTTTTTTTTTATTTTAATTTATATTTTGAAAATTTTAATTTAATTTTTTAATTCAAATTATTAAAGTCAAAAATAAAATTAATTTTCTTTAATTTTTTATTTTAAAAAATTTCAATCTTTTTTCTTGTAAATTTCTCTTAACTTTAAAAATTTGATTCACGCCAAATCTTTTCTTGTTCTTCATCACCAAAAATAATAAAAAAAAAATTCATCAATTTTCCGCCTTCTTCTCTGACTTTCCATCTCTATCTACTTTTACGTTTCTAATTTCATCGCACAAAGTTTAACAAAAAAAATTTAAAAATCAACAAATTAGTGGAAGAAAAAATAAAAAAAAAATCACCAAAAAAACGGAATTTTTGTGGACAAATTAATTAGAAATTTGCTGTTGCTTTAGCTTTGAGCGTCTGTCGCCTTTTTTGTGCTTTTGTAGGATTTGAAGAATTTACCCGAATAGCAAAAGTTGGTGATTCACTTTTCTTTTGATTCACGTTGGCTAGTGATCAATTTACCAACTTGTGCTATTCGGATTAGTGCATGATAATTTTTTGAAGTAGTTGAAAAAAATTATAAAAAATTAAAATTATTGTAAAAAGTTTCTTCATTTTTATTAATTTGAAACAGAATTTTATTTTATTTTTTAAATTAATCTGAATTTAATTCATAAATCCGACTGACAGGGGGGGAAGAGGGGGGGGGGGGGGGGGGGGGGTTGGGATTCAAATCCCCTGACGTTAACAAAAATTTCTTCATTTTGCTTAGAGTTTTAAGAAAAAATCATAAATTTCCCCCTTTTCCTCTTAATTTCCCCCCGCCCCCTCCCCTTTCCCTCTTCAATTTCTTGGCTACGACCCTGCCAACTGAATTTTGACAATTTTTTGGTCAAAACTTTAGCATTTTCATAATTTTAAAGTTTAACTTTTTCGATTTTCTACTCCATTAAGAAGCTTTTGGGGATTGGAAGTGCTTTATCAGTAGGGTGACCATCTAATTTTTATGAAAATACAGGGAATTTGATAAATTTCCTAAAAAATACAGGACACAAAACTTGAAAATTAACGGAAATTTTCTTGAAAAAAATACAGGACCTGGAACAAAATTTTCAAATTTATATAGGACAGGGTTTAGAAATACAGAACTGTCCGTTGTAAAACTACGCAGATGGTCACTCTACTTATTACTCATTAAAACTCAAAACTAAAGTGAATTATCATCAAAAAATTCGAGTGACTAGTCATAATGACCACCTTAAAGCCACTTGCATCTCCTTTACCGTCTAAAATCTTCATGTCAACCCTTAGTAACTCTAAATAGAAATAAAACTAATAGATCAGGGCAGTGTTGGTCAACCCATGTGCCGTGGCATACCAGTGTCTATGTGCCGTGTGTGGTTTTGGTCAAAGCTTACCATTTAAGTATGCTATGGCACAAAAAAGTTTGTCCAGTACTGGATTAGGGTCATTAGGAATTTCAAGAATATTTTTTATAATTCAAGCTATGTTCTAAGATCCAGTTGCTTGGAGTTTTGATATAAACTTAATTTTTTTCATTAAATCTAGAACATTGTCCATAAAAATAGCAAAATTTGTGTCTAGAATAGAGTTTAGGAGGATAGAAGCTAGGATATATGAGTTTTTGGGTCTTTATAGGCATCTAGTTTCAAAACCATAGCCAATAGTTGCTAAAAGATGTCTGGAACTTCATTTAAGACTAAAATTAAAATGCTCAAATCCAAGGATCTTCCTGAAATGTCAATAAGCATCCCCAAAAATGTTAAACCACTCCACAGCCTTAATTCAAAGTTAAACTCACCTAATTCTAAATTTATAGCTCAACTAGCTTTAGTTATACCTGAAAACAATAGAATTCATAAGCTAGAAACCAAAAAATTCCACTCTAAGGTCAAAAAATAATTCATTTTACAATAAATTCCAACTTTTTTTAAACAATAAATTTTGCACAACACAATGAACATAAAACGAACTTTTTGTTTGCCTGCAAGAATGCATCGACATGAAATGTTTTTAAAAAATGCGATAAATAAAGTTGAATGCAACTTTTTTTCCAATATTAAAAGCTATTAAATAATGTACAGCCAATAATGCTCGTAGGAATGAAGTAAATGTGTGTTTTATGGAAGATAAATCTCATGTTTGATGCTCAATATCCTTCGATAATTACAATTCTATGCTGTACTGCTGTTTTATTGGCAACATTGTGGCTTGTTAACTAGAAATTGATATAAGCAATGAGTTTTGATGAGGCGAGATGAATTTAATGAAATTTAATCTAGTTTAGCTGATTTTCCTTCTTTTTTTCACATTTAAAGTCGAATTTCATTTAAGGAACGAACTTTTTCGTGACGTTTGAATTTTTTCAAGGATTTGCAGCCATCTGGGATCTTATCAAGTAGTTCTTTAATCAATTTTCATTATTATAATGCCAACTGCACTCAAAAAACCCAAAATATCGCTAAAATTGACCAAACTTAACCTCAAAAATTTCAAAAAATTCAAGAATAATCTCAAAATTTTCAATAAATCCACAACAAATAAATAGTCGAATTACGGAGCCTCCCAGCTAATAAATATTCAAGACTAATTAGCTTCCATTCACAAGATAAAAGTGAATTAATCACCTTAACAATTTCACAGCAAGCACCGCAACAAGAAGAAGGAAAATTTCTCTCATTTTTGAGCTAATTAACTTCCTTTCAATGTCAATTATTGTCGTCAACTTTTTTTTTCGTCTCGAGTAGAAAATTTGATAAATTAATTAAATGTGGACGATGAAGAAGAATTGAGTTGAGAATTTTTGGTGGGGCAGGGATGCGATATATTTTGGAAGGTTGACATTAAATAGCACGGTCCGGCCAGGAACTCAAACTCTGGTTCCATATATTTAACAAGTTTCTACAGAAGCAGCGCTTAAGTTCTTGGTTCTTGCTACAATTAAAAGCTGGCGTGTTTCTAGAATGTCGCTGGATTCAGTTAAAATCTTACATCATGCCAGAGTCACACTGGAGTGTGCTGTATTGCTTTTTTTAAGGATTTAAAGTGAATATTTCGACTTTTTAAGACAAATTTTCGAATTGGATGAAAAAATCTTCCCGATTTTTGTGGCCAACCCACTCTCAGCCTTCTCAATTCCCTCAAAAACCATGGCAACAACCTCAACTTCCTCTTCAGTTTCAATAAAATGGTTCTTTTCTGTCTTTACAACTTCCTAATTAGGAGAAATTTTATTTTGTGGTTTTTTGTCTGCTTTTTGCTATTTTTTACCCGAATTTCATTCATCAATGAAGTTTACGACTTTATCGTTACATTTTCATAATTAATTTCAACAAGCTAAGTGGGAAATTTTAATTGAATTTTACAATTTTAAATTTGGGTTTTTTTTGCCCCACCTCCTCTTAATTTGATAGGTTTTTAGGCTTAGGAAAAGTTGTTGTAGATGCAAATTAAATTAAAAGAGCAAAATCAATGAAATTGATTCTCAAAGATTGTTGAAAAATCTTAAATTTCATATCCAACAAGTCTTTATGTTACGTTTTACATTTCAAAAAAACCATCGATTTAATGACGTCATTGAATATTCAAGTTCAATTATTTTTTAATGATCTTTTTTTTGTGATTATTTTCTTCTTTGTCTGCTTTGTTTTGTTCTGAAAATGAACGAGAAATGCATTCAACAGGCAGGCAGGAATGAATAATCAGTTCATTGTGTTGTGAAATGTTGAAGGAATTTGTGAACTTTAATGGGGATTTTTTTATAGATTTAAATAGAAAAAAAACGTGTAAAAATAGGAACAAATTTTCTTGTTTTTAATGAAAATTGCATTTTATTACAGTTTTGCTATAAAATTTAATAACAGATTTTCTTTAATTTTTATAACAGTCTTCCTATAATTATTATAACAAAATTCCAATAATTATCATAACAGTCTTCCTATAATTAATATAACAATCTTCCTATAATTATTATAACAGTCTTCCTATATTTAATATAACAGTCTTCCTATAATTATTATAATAGTCTTCCTTAAATTATTATAACAGTCTTCCTATAATTATTATAACAGTCTTCCTATAATTATTATAGCAGTCTTCCTTAAATTATTATAACAGTCTTCCTATAATTATTATAAGTCTTCCAATAATTATTATAACAGTCTTCCTATAATTATTATAAGAGTCTCAATTTAATTTTTTATGTCAGTCTTACTATAATTTTATAACAGATTCTCCAATACTATTAAATATCTTAATAATTTACTAATATTGCACATGCCATTAAATTTCATCAAACAAATATTTTTCATAAATTTTATTACAGATCAATTAACAAACTATCTCTCAAAAAGCATCTATATAACTTTACTCAACATTTATATTTATAGCAATATGTAAAATTCACAATAATAATTTCCAATTTAGCTTTGATATTGTATCTCGATGTTTCATTTGTGCTTATGAAAATAACATGTTTCAAATGACACAAAGTTTTATCAATGCAGTTGAATGCTGTCGTGCATGTTGCGTTTGTAGATTTTAATTACTGCTTGTCGATAATTTTTTTAGTGTCATTTGATAAATTTCGTGTTTTTATTATTGTCATTAAATATTGTGTCTTTTAATTAAAATTTGATGTGCAAAATTAGGTCAATTTTGATGAAAAAGTAAAGCTTTAGATAATGCAGCAGAAAGCGAAGCTGTAGATTTTGGAAATAAACACAAATGTTGTCTATTTAATTAAATTATACGAGTTATAACAGTTATGATAGTTTAGAAATTTCATGCGTTATAACAGTTTGCCATTATACGAGTTATAACAGTTTAGTAATCATACGCATTATAACAGTTATGATAGAAATACATTCTAAATCTAGATCAAAATTCACCAAAATTGACCAAATAAGCTTCAATATAATCAAAATAAATCACATGCTAATTTGACCAATTTATTCTAAATTCCTTTTCATGCTTCAAAATATTTCTCATCAATATAATCTCAAAATTCGATCACCAATCAACATCCATCAATTAACTCTCATCCACAAAAAATAAAATAAAAAAAAATTAATCCAAAATTCAACAGTGATATGCGCACAGGGATTAATAGCAAAGGACAAGAGCGGTACAAGTGATCCATATGTGACGGTACAAGTTGGAAAAGTGAAAAAGCGCACAAGAACGATGCCGCAGGAATTGAATCCAGTGTGGAGTGAAAAATTTCATTTGTAAGTGTGACTTGCTGTTGGTTCAAGTTGTTGTGAAATCCTTTTACACCCTTTGTGCACCCAAAAGTATGTTGAAGGGTTGGTTATTGCAGGACGGGATTGTTGTGGAAAAATGTTAAATTTCTTAATTTTTGTCTTTGAAGTTTTACTGATTATAACAGTTTATACCACTTTATAACAATTTAAAGCAGCTTATGACAGTTTATAACAGTTTGTGAGCGCGTTTTTCCACAAAAATCTATCAAACCCTATCCAACCCTCATTGCATTCCAAAAAATGTAAATTTTTGTCCAGAATCTCCAGCAACTCATTCTTCAAATCGAAAATTCATACTCTGAATATCTTTTTTGGTCCACAGTGAGTGTCACAATTCGTCCGATCGCATCAAAGTGCGCGTATGGGACGAAGACAATGATCTCAAGTCAAAGCTCCGTCAAAAGTTGACACGAGAATCAGATGACTTTTTAGGTCAAACGATAATCGAAGTAAGAACATTGTCAGGTGAGATGGATGTTTGGTATAATTTGGAGAAGCGTACCGACAAGTCAGCTGTGTCTGGTGCCATTCGGCTGCACATATCAGTAGAGATAAAAGGTGAAGAGAAAGTTGCACCATATCATGTCCAATACACGTGTCTGCATGAAAACATCTTTCATTATTTGTGCGAACAAAATTCGAGTCTTGTAAAGCTTCCGCAGGCGAAAGGCGATGACGCTTGGAAAATTTATTTTGATGAGACGCCGCAAGAAATTGTCGATGAATTTGCAATGCGATACGGAATTGAGCCGATTTATCAAGCGATGACACATTTTCATTGTCTATCAACGAAATATTTATGCCCTGGTGTGCCGTACGCGATGAGTTTCTTATTGGCTAATATTAATGCTCATTATGCTCATACGACAGCCTCGAGTGCTGTTTCTGCGAGTGACCGATTTGCTGCTAGTAATTTTGGTGTAAGTTTAATGATTTCATGTTTCTTGTGTTGTGTCATAACCTCAAAAATTCTTACCTAACTTCAAAAAGTCTAAACTAACCTCAAAATCCTTAATTTAAAAAGTCTAACCTCAAAAAATCTATCCTAACCTCAAATTTTTTTTATCCTGACCTAAAAATCAAGAGCTAACCTTAAAGTTAATATTTTACATAACCTCAAAGATCCTAACCTAAAATGCTTCCAACTTTACCTCAAAAGTTCCGATATAACCTCAAATATTCCAATATAACCTCAAACTTCTAAAATAACCCCCCAAAAAAAGAAAAAATTTCTAACCTCAAAAATTTTGAGTCAAAATGACTACAAAAAATATTTATTTTGACATTTACAGAAAGAGAAATTCGTGAAACTTCTGGACCAACTGCACAACTCATTACGTATCGATTTGTCGTCATATCGCACAGTCTTCCCAGCATCATATCCTGAAAAGCTTGAAGATCTGAAGTGTGTTGTTGACTTATTGACCAGCATAACATTTTTTCGTATGAAGGTAAGGTTCAATGTTCTCAATTTAATTGGAATAGCTAAACAAATTGCCAATTTCAGGTTCAAGAACTTTCATGTCCACCACGTGCGAGCACAGTCGTTAAGGATTGTGTCAAAGCCTGCCTTAGATCCACTTACCAATTTGTGTTTCAACATTGTTACGAAATTTACAGCAAAGAGTTTCAGGTGAGTAGCTCAATCCTAACCTACAAAGCCATTCTAACCTCAAAAAACATCTTAACCTCGAAACCATTTCTAACCTCAAAAAACCCAATTTCAGGTGGATCCAAACGAAAAGATCGATCCAGATGACCAAGGTCCTCGTCTTGATTCACTAGATTTCTGGCATCGTCTCATAGCCTGTCTAGTGTCGGTCATTGAAGAAGACAGAAACGTATACAGTCCAAAAATGAATCAATTTCCGCACGAACTCAACGTCGGTCAATTGTCAGCGTCGACAATTTTCTCGTTACTTGCCGTTGACATCAAGTATGCCTTAGAAGAGCACGAACAACATCGATTGTGCGAATCGTCAGCTTACATGAACCTCAATTTTGCCGTAAAACGGTTTTATGTGAAGCATATAAAGGAAGTTCCACCTTATAAAGGATCAGTGCCTGAATATCCTGCCTGGTTTGAGCCATTTGTCATGCAATGGCTGAATGAAAATGATGACGTATCACTAGAATATCTTAAGGGTGCTTACGCCAGAGATAAAAAGGATGGGGTTTGTAGATTTGAATTTTTTATGACTGTTTGTGACTTAACCTCAAATTTGGGCGATTTTCCCTCAAAAAAGAGTGAATTAACCTCAAAATTGAGTGAGATAACCTCAAAATTGTATGACTTAACCTCAAGATAGGATGACTTAACCTGAAAATTGAGTCACTTCAGCTCAAAATTGAGTGACTTAACCTCAAAATTGAGTAACTTAATTTCAAAATTGAGTGCCTTGACCTCAAAATTGAGTGACTTAACCTGAACATTAAGTGATTAAAGTTCAGAATTGAGTCACTTAAACTCAAATTTTTTTTCACTTAATCTCAAAATTGAGTGACTTAACTTCAATATTTTTTACTTAACCCAAAATTTTTGTGACTTAACCTCAAAATTGTTTGACTTAACCTCAAAAATTACTGACTTAACCTCAAAATTGTTTGACTTAACCTCAAAATTAATTGACTAAACCCCAAAATTGAGTGACTTAACTTCAATATTTTTTGACTTAACCTCAAAAATAATTCGACATAACCTAAAAAATCCTTCATTTTCCATCCGCAGTTCCAAAGAAGCAGCGAACATTCGTTATTCTCGAACTCTGTCGTCGATGTGTTCACGCAACTTTCGCAATGCTTCGATGTCGTTAGTAAACTTGAATGTCCTGACCCCGACATATGGAGGAGATACATGAGGCGCTTTGCAAAGACAGTCGTTAAGGTTCTACTCTCGTATGTCGAGATCGTGAAAATAGACTTCCCGGAGCAGATGAAGGATGAGAGAATCGTAAGTAGATTGTAACTTTTAGGTTAGAAATGCAGATCTAATCCATTTTCATATCAATTCCAGGCCTGTGTCCTCATGAACAATATTCAACAACTTCGAATTCAGTTGGAGAAAATGTTTGAGCAGATGGGCGGTGAGAAATTAGAAGAAGATGCGGCGAATATTTTGAAAGATTTACAGCAACAGTTAAATAGTATTTTGGACGAATTGGCATTGCAGTTTGCAAACAGGTGAGCCTATCCATCAACATTAGCTTCATTTAACAATTTTAACCTCAAAATCACTTTTTCTAATTTCAGCCTTAAGCCATGCATTTCACAAAGTGTACGTGAGTTAGGCGAGCGCTTGTTCAACATTAAAAGTAATGGAGCGCAAGCGAAAGCCGGCTCTACGGAAGCTGATGAAGTGCTTCGTCCACTGATGGACCTTCTCGATGGCTCTCTCACAATGTATGCACAATCCTGCGAAAAGACGGTGCTGAAACGTTTGTTGAAGGAATTATGGAAGATTGTGATCAGAACCATCGAGAAAACCATCGTCTTGCCACCAATCAACGACAAGACGGTAAGCTTAGTCTTTATTTCGGATTTGAATAGAAATTATAGTTGATTATTCTTGTAGATCATCTTCAAAAATCTCACCGACAACGCCAAAAACATCGCTGCAAACGCCAAAATCGAGGACATGGGTAGATTGTTCAAAACTCATATATCGTCGAAACAAGATGTTAAGAGCACTCTAACTTCCGTGATCGAAGTGAGTATTGAATAAGTTTGTTTTGTTCATAACCTCAAAATTAGGGTTCTTGTCTGTTTGTTTGTCTGGTTCAGACTGAATTCGACTTGAACTAGTGTATGAGGCTGGTTTTGGGGTTATGTAGGGTCTTGCAAATCTCAAGAAATCAGTCTACTAATTTCAAAAATCATAACCTCAAAAAATTTTAACCTCAAAAAGTTTTAACCTCAAAAAAATTCTAATCTTAAAAAATTTCTAACCTGAAAAAATCCTAACCTCAAAAAATCCAAATCTCAAAAAATTCAAACCTCAAAAATTTTTAACCTCAAAAAAGTTCTAACCTCAAAAAATCATAACCTCAAAAAATTCTAACCTCTAAAATCTTAAAAATGACAAATCGAATCAAAAAAACTCATTCTAACCTCAAAAATAAAATTTTTCCTCCAATTATAGCTTGAGAAGAACCTTTCCTCCTCTCAAACGGCTGTCTTGAATGTGTGCCTCGATACAATTAAACAGTACTTCCATGCCGGTGGAAATGGACTCAAGAAAAACTATCTCGAAAAATCGCCAGAGCTGCAGAGCTTACGATACGCTCTCAGTTTGTACACACAATCGACTGACGACTTAATAACGACCTTCAATACATCCCAAGCTGCTAATATAACCCAAAAAGGTGTTCAGAACACGCCCGCTCAAGAAGGTGAGTACGAATTAATGTTGACAAAATAAAAATAATTCAAAATTTTGGTTTTGAGTGAAATTTTAAAAAAAAAACACGAGAAAAACTGACTGAAAAAAAATTTTCTTTCGTTTATTTTTTTTAATCTGATATTCTTTCCCCCCATATAAATGTTCCACTACCCCAAACTGAACCCCCCTTCTCGAAAAAAAAAATTACACGCAAATTTTGTGTCTTGAAAACAAATTTTTGCATAAAAAAAACTATGAAAATTCATGAAAAATAAAATAATCAGCATCACGTCGACGGTGCCTAGAGCAGGATGAGAATGCTGAAAATACAAATCAGCCACCACCAACAATCAAATTGAGATCAAACAAGGATCTTCTTAGTCAAGGTTTCGTGAAAAAAAAGACAAAAATTCTTAATTTTACTATTTTTTTTTTAAAAACTTAGTTTTAATTTCCTTAGAGGGAAAAATAATAATAAATTAAAGTTTTATGCTTGAAATGAAAAAAATCGGAAAGATATTTTTTCAAAATATTTTGTTTAAATTGCTTCAAGTTTTTTTGTTAGGAAATCGTATTTTTTTGTTAGAGAACTTTTTTGTTTGGTTATTTCTGTTTGACAAAAGCTTCATTAGAGTTCATTTTTTTTTAAGTTTCAACCCATTTAGAGTCTGACATGTCAAAATATTGTTGTTATCTGTTGTGTTAAAGCTAAGCTTAGCTAGCAAGAATGTCATATGAATTAGGAACATTACAATGTGCTAGAATTTATAGAGTAAATGTTGATTTTTGATCAACTGACTGGCTAGACATGACTCGTAGTTTAATATTAGCTATTCCTGAGCATAAATGACCACTTAACTGTCGAGGAGTCGACATCAATTCACTTAAGTCATCAAAATGACAATTACATAGCCAAAATCATCAGAAAAAGACCTTACTTCAGGTCATTCAAATATTTAAACACCAAAGCTTTGAAGTTGACTCAAAAACATAAATTAAGAGTTAAATCGACTCGTGGTTAATTCGAACTGGCTCGACTATAAGCTGCGTGATACTATATTGATAAAATATCATTACAGCTAATGGCCTGCCTCATTAAGATAAAAGTCTTAGCATCGAACCAGAGATCGAAGCCGATTTTTTCGGCTTAACTCAATTTTTGATTTTTTTTTGATAGAAAAAAGCCATTTGACACCCATTTCAAGTATTTAAATTGAACTTTACATGCTTTACTATGAATCTGTGTAATATTTTGTCAGCATGTAGCTATAGTAAGCTCAGAATTTCAAGTTAACCGATGATAAGCCGATCAGCTTAAATTCCGGCTTTTATCTTGAATTCAGTTGACGGTGCAAAAAATGTTCTAGAGTTGGCAGGCATCTTATTTGGTAAGCGTCCAGCAGAGTTGGGTTCACACCAAAAAAAGTGAAGTCCAAACTCCGTGAGTCTTGTCAACTCGGAACGCTTCAATGCACTGAAATTTTTTACATTTGTGATTTCTTGCAAGTTCAAGCCTTACTTTATGATCAAGCTTTAAATTATTTCTCCACAATTTACTTTTACTGGCTCGATGATGCCTTTTTTGAATTATATTCACTAGAAATGAAGATCAAAGCCTTCTTTTGTAGGCTACAGGCAGGATTGTCATTAACGTTGTGGTATCGAATCTTAATATCAACTGTGGGTACGAGGTTGAGGACTGCGAAACGCGCTAAAGTACTCTTGGATCACAATTGATCTGAATGATTAAATGAACATTACTAATGACAATAATGAGGCTCAAGACCTGTTTTAAGAGAACTTCTTTAGAACCATAATATTTTGACAACAAATAGACTTTTATGGGAGCTTTTTTTTAAATCAATTTAGATAATTTTATTTTATTTCATTTATTTTAAATATTCAGTATTTTCTTAAAGTTAAGATCGTTCAAAGAAATTCTTCTGCAAATTCAAATAATTAATTTGATCTTTGTTATGTTAATTGAATCACCCAAGCACAAATTTCATAGATCATGAGCTTTTTCACCTGATTTTATAAGATAGTGTAAATATCTATTCAATTAATTAATGAAATTAAAATTCAAAGATTGTAAAGTTTAGTGCCACAAAAATAAGAAATCTGTTCTGCAAAAAAAAAGTCTTAAGCTTCAGACAATCACACAAATTTTTAAAACATAAACAACACATTTTTAAAGAAAATAAGGCTTGTTGGTTGTTGAGGAAGCAGAGTGGGATTAAGGATGTTATTAATTGATTTTTGAGGCTACTATGCGACACTTTCTAGTGACTTAAATGACACAAAGTATTGAAGTAAGTCTAGATTGAGGTTCTGTTATGGTCAAATTAAGTCAACTAGGCTGTGGTGAGTCTGTGAGTGACTTATCAGTATACCTGAAGTAATTTTAGATCCTAGTGAATTCCAATAAATCGGATCATGTAAACCAGTGATGGCCAACCATTGTGCTATGAAAAAATTGAGGATATCTCATGAACCGTATACTGTGTGTGGTTTTGATTATGGCTTACGAAGTGTGCCATTGCACAAAAAAGGTTGGTCAACACTGATTTAAACAGTTGTGACTAAGGCACCCCAGAGAGCCTTAAATACTGACTCAGGACTCATACATCCAGAATAGCACAAGTTGGTTAATTTAATAAAAAACCTGGTGCCAAGCCGGAATGACTCATGCATGATGCTGGCTTTGTTTTGAATCCAGCACCGTGCCAGGGTCACAACTGCTTGGTGCTAGATTTCTGATCAATAACCTGACTTGTGCCATTTGGGTATAAGTTATATTTAAATATTAAATGTTTAAAAATCAACAAGCCTTGACTTTATCAAACACAATCACACATTTATAAGAAAAAAAGTCGATGAAGAATTCTGCAAAATATTTAAAAACATAATTTCATCATCAAAGATTTCAGTAATTTTGAGCATAATTTTCGCAAGATTCTTCACAAATATTTTTTTTTAACTCAAGAATCTTCCGAAAAATTCCTCAAACTTCAACGAAATCTTGCCATTATCATTAACACATTTTGTTATTAGCATTAAAATTTTGCTAGTTTGTATAGTCGCCGATAGGGCGAAAACTATATTTTTAATTTTGTTTTTATTATTCTTTTCACAATTTTGCCAAAGTTTTAGTGAATTTATTTTTTTTTTTATTACTTCTTGTTGGAATGTTCGATAGAGCAAAAGTTTAGAGCGCTAGCTTAAATCGAAAGGAGGAACTATTTTTTTACTGAAGCAAAAAATTTTCTACTTTAATTTAAACTTTTAGATTCGACAAATGTTGACGACGAAGTTGTAGGTGAAGTTTCTGTTCAGGTTGATCTTTTCACGCAAGCTGGATCGGGTGAACATAAAGTTACTGTTAAAGGTAAAGTTTTAGCGATGGCTGATGGGCTACAATAGCTTTATTTTTGTTATAAATTGCACATCCAGTTCCTAATTCTAACCTCACAAAACCTCACAAACTTCTTTTTCAGTTATTGCCGCTAATGACTTGAAGTGGGCCAGTCCATCCGGTGTTGTGTTTCGTCCATATGTTGAAATCAATCTTACAGGTCCACATTTGCAGGACAAGAAGCGAAAAATGGCAACAAAATCAAAGACCAACAATTGGTCACCAAAATATAACGAGACATTTCATTTGTGAGTATCTTATTCACTATATGATGACATCTTGCCTATCTTGAGCAGTTACTAATAAAATTCTTAATTTTAGTGCCTTCAATACTGCATCAGAAGAGCAATTGGACTTTTATGAACTTCACATTTGCGTTCGTGATTACTGTTTTGCACGTGAAGATCGTCTCGTTGGTGTTGCTGTGTTGCAGCTTAAGGATATTGTTGATCAGGTTTGTTACATGAAAATAAGCTTCAATTTACCTAAAATATAAAAATCTTAACCTCAAAAACTGAAATTCTAACCTCAAAAACTGAAATTCTAACCTCAAAAAAAATCTCAATTTTAGCGATCCTGTGCTCGCTGGCTTCCACTCTTCAAGAGCATTCCAAAAGACGAAACCGGTTGGACAATATTAAGAATCTTATGGCAGCGAAGCAACGACGAAGTTGCAAAGGAATTTGTCAAGCTCAAGTCAGAAATCCGACAAGAGCCATCAGAAAAGGACAAATAAAGCGTTTAAGCACAAAAAAATTACTTAATTTTTTAACAATGTAAAATAATCTGGTTGTGATACGTCCAAGTGAACACAATAACATTGATTCATACAGACTTAGTAAAGTAAGGCAACAAAACAAAAAACCAAAAAGATCGGCACTGTAAACATCAAAGCACAAAAATAATTAAAACGTAAAAAAATCGTGGACAAAAAAAAACTAGGATGAAATAATCAAGTGGAATTAAAGCTTTCGGATGTAATTAAGCATATGACAAAATAGTTGATCAAGTCAACAAGGCGAAAATGGCGAACAAAAATTGTAGTTAAAAACTTTTAAGTACAAGAAAATTTAATAATTCAAAAATAATGAACACATCTAGTCGAAAATTCCCTAAAAAATTGAAATGTTCATTTTTAAACTTTGTTGAATATATTCTTGAATTTTCTTTTTATTTAAATTCTAAAAATTGGTAAAATTAAAACAATTTTTTCAAATAACAAAATTATTTTGTTAAACATTTTGATTTTCTTCAAAAACACAACTTTTGAAAATTTTATAAAACTTGAAAAGTTCAAAATTTTCAAAACGGGGTTAAAAAAAATTCAAAAATTCAAAAAAGTTGAAAACAAATAAAATCTTATTTTTAAAAAAAATATTTCAAAATATTTGAATTTCAACCATCAATATTCTTCAAATTTTAATTTATAAAAATCAAAAAAAAAATGTTTTCAAAATAAAAAATCCTGTAAGAAATAAAACAAGCAAAATTAGAATTTTAACCACCAGAAAATGAGAATAAAAAAAATTGTAAAAATAGAAAAAATAGACCAAAAAAGTTGAAATAATTCAAAAAAGAATTAGATAGAAAATTATCAATAAATAAATTGCGACTAATCCATGTCATTGATGGAATATCAAAAAAAAACAAACAAAAAATAACAAAATATTTAAATATTTAGATGAGAACAATTTCTATTTAACATTTTTTAGAAACCAAAAAAAATAGAAGAAGGAAATCTTTTTAAAATGTAAATTTGCTTGAATTTCACATTTTTTTGCAATTTTACATTTTAATTCCATTTCTATTTCTGCTTTAAAAATCAATAAAAATAAAAAAAAATGTTAAATAGTCTTTAAAAAATTAACAAAAGAACCGTCTTCAACTTTCTCGAAACTTAATTTTTTAGGTAAAAATGAGCAAAAAAAACCTAATCAATATTAAAAAAATATTTCAAAAAACCTACAAATTTAAAAAAGTATTAAAAATATTTAAACCAATAAAAAAAATACAGAAAAAATGTATAGAATAAAATTTTTTGTCTTACCATTCATAAAATCAATATCAATAATAGATTTATACACAAATACACAACAATATAGAATTTCAGATAAAAAATTAAAGAACAAACAATTTAGACCAAAATGGAAACATTAAACAATATTCATGCAGAACAGTGTAAGAATTGAATCACTTAATGCCATTTTAGTCACGGGGTCTGGGTTAAGTATTACAAACGGAGGTTGAATTGAGGTTAGAATTGCAATAATAAGGCTTAATTGGTGTTGTACTGGTTGATTTAGCTTAATCAAAGGATTTTTCTTCAGATTCCTTCTTAAGCTAAGGCATTGGATATCTGAAAAAAACCCGAAATTCAAAACATAACCTTAAAAAATTTAAAATCTCAAAATCTCTCAAACCAACCTCAAACATTCAAAAACTTAAATTTTTCCCAATAAATTTTCCCAAAAAGCAATTAAATCCATCAGTTTGAAGACAAAACCAGGAATTAGCAATCCATAACCTCAAAAAACCTTTAAACTTAACCCAAACAAACCCCCGACTCATCACATTAACAATTGTTTTTCTCAATCCCAGGTCAAAAATTCAGGTTTGTTTTAAAATTTTTAATTATTGGTTTTCCAATTTGTTGCTTCCATCAAAACATAAAAAAGTAAAAATTGCAATATTTTAAGGCCAGCAATGTTAGAAATTTTTGTAATTATTAAAATATATCAAGAGATGGTAACTTGGCTTGGTAAACAACTTAATTTTATGCATATCAATGGGGAATGGACAGGTGTAATTAGGTAAAATGTTGAGTGAAGTTTTGAAGATTTTTCAAATCTAACCTCGTACTTTTCAGAGAATCTGTAAGCTTGCAAAGCTTTTTCACAGCTCAAGCTTCTAAACTTTTAATCCTTTTTCCAAAAAATCATTCAAAATCGTTAAATTTTCCCCTTCTTAAATTTCATAAAAAAATCTTTTTCATCGTGAATTTTTTCTATCCTTAAATTTCATACGACAAATAAAGTTATATCCCATATAATCGCGTGGAAGTTTAGCAAAATAAGTGAAAATAAAATGATAAAAAAATGACATAAATAATTTAATCATAATGCTCGGGACCATGTGCATGCATTAATGTAAATTGTGTAGTTTAAAAATGAAATAAATTAAATTTAAAAAGTTGCAAAAGCTTTCGAGAGATCAGCGTGGAAGTTTAATAAACTAGCAGAAAGTCAAAAACTTATGGTTTTAAATTTTTATTTTTCAGTTTTGAAATAAAAAATCTTTTTTTTAAAAAATTTAAATTAACTTTAAATACTTTTGAGTGTTTTTCAAAAACTTTAATTTTGATTTATTAATTTAACTTTGAAAGCACAGTTTAAAATTTTTATAATTTTCCTTCGTTAAATTTAAATTTTTTAAATCAAACAAAATGTAAAATAAAACAAAAAATCCGCAAACAAAGCTTGCAAAAAATAGAAAAAAATTAATTTTACATGAGCGAATTATGCAAAAAAACCTTAAAAAAATTGTGGTCGGAATTTTTTAAAAAAAAAGTTCATATTTTGGTTGTTTTTTAATGTTGAATTTTTAATTGTCCAAAATATTGATATTAATTAAATGTTTACAAAAAAAACCCTGAACAGTTATAAAATATGTCAAACGATATTCAAATTGAAACTTAATAATTGTGGTAAAAAATAACAGAAAAGTAAAATAATTTTTCCGATGTTGATTGTTAAAATGTGGAAAAGTTGTTGAATGTTTTACAAATAAGGGAATGAAAATATGTTAAAAAGTTCTACTAAATCTACTAAAAACTTTGGTTTTTGATGGGTTTTGGAGTTGATTAAGGTGAAAAAAATTTAAAAAATTCAAAAATTTTCAAATGATTTCAAGAAATTATTGCTTAATTGTTTATTTCCTATCAAAAAACAGCAAAAAAGTTTAAAATTTGAACTTATAATTTCTTAGGTTACCGTTTCGATTCCTAATGCAGGTTACTTGCAGCAGCTTAAGCTATTGGCAAGAAAAACTCCATTTTGAAAAAAAAGTCATCAGTTTTTAATGTGAATTTTAATGTTTCAATTATTTTTAACTTTTTTTACTGAAATTGGAACTAGGTTTTTGACGAAATGTGTTTAAACAGTAGGATCAACTTACCAAAATGTCACAAAGTGAAATAATCTAAAATGAGGTTGAATTAGTGACAATTTTTGGCTATATTCAATTAAGAATCTGTCTCCAAGCTGTCACTGTGGATTATTGATGCAAAATAATTTATATTTGAGCCAGACAAGTAAAATATCTATAAATCAACTCCAAAGCCTCCAAAAGTCCTGACTATTTTCATCCATCTAGTCTATCTTTAACTATCAACATCTGTCATCCTTAAAACAATCTATGCAAAAAAAAACAATTTGATGAACAATCGGTAGCTTTTAAAATTTTGAATAAAATTTCAAGTGCCACTAAAACGTTTTTCTTATCAAAAAAAAACATTTGTTAATAAAAATTGTTGCTTAATTAAATTTGAAAACTTAAAAAAATGAATAAAATGTGACCACACACTTTGGGGTAATTTCTGGTAAATTCCTTGCAAAAAAAAATACTTCTCGCGCTGAAAACAACTTTTAATTTTTATCTTAAAAAAATTGCACACAAGAGACAAAGTATTAATGCAATAATTATACAAGATTTAAATAAAAATTGTGAAAACTGATCGTGAAAATAAAATATAAAAAAATGTTAAAAATTGATGAATTTTCACGATCATTTGTCACAGAAATAAATACACAAATACATTCAAACATTTACATTATTCATTATATACATTTTAATATATTTATATTATTATACATTATCGAAATGGATGAGACACAAAAATAAATAAATATGAAAATATTTCACTGAAAATTGTATCAAAAAATGTGAAATTGTTGACTTAATTGAATTTTTCAAGTTTCAAAGATAAAAATTCATTTTTTAACTTTTTTTTAAAAAATGTTAAAATAATTGAATTTTTAAATGTTTCAATATTCAAAAAAATTGTTTTATTAATTTTTGTAATTTTCTTAATTTGAAATTGTATTGAAATGATGAAAATTTGACTGATTTAAAAATTGAAAAGTTTAATTTAAAATCATCAAAAAAAAACTACGAAAATTGAACTGAAAATGACAAATTTATTTTCAAGAATAAAAAAAAAAGTTCGTTCAAATTTATCAAAATGTATGAAAAAAGTCGCGAATGAAAATGTTTACTGAAATTATTAATAAACATACAAATATCTAATGTTAAGTGTATAAAAAATATTACCAAAACTATAAAAAAAATTGACAATTGAAATGCTACCAAAACAAAAATTCTTCATCTTTCGAAAAAAAAAAAATAAATTTAAAAAAAGTATTCGATGAAGAATAAAAAAACGTCAACAATTAAATGAAATATATAAAAAAAATATTATGATAATTATTAAGTTTATAAATATTAAATTAATCATAATAAAAAAAATACAATGCGATAAATAATTATAAAGATAAAATATTGTGAAAAAAAAACAGATTGTGAATAAATAAATTAAAATAAAACAACAAAAATATCGAAAATATGAAAAATATCAAAATAAAAAGTTTTTTTCTTTATTTGGTTGTTATAAATTTTCATTATGATTCATGAATCAAATACAAAGTTCAACTTCATAATTATTAAATATGTGCGCAGTAATTTTTATAAAGATGCTAATAGCGTGCGCAGTAGTTTTTGATATGGCGCAAAAAATGTGCGCAGTATTCATTATAAGGGTGCAATTATAAGGGTGCAATTATTGCGCGCAGTATTTTTGATCTGGCGCAAATGATGCGCGCAGTGTTTTTAATATGGCTGCAAATGTTTTGCGCAGCATTTTTATGTGGCTGAAAATAATGTGCGCAGTATTTTTGATATGGCGCAAATGATGCGCGCAGTATGATATTTTATGTAGTTCATATTATTCTAAATTGATTAAAGTATTCCTAGCTTCTCCTCCTTATCAAAACCTTGTCATATGATTGATTCTCTACATTTTAAAGTGTCAGCATCTCTATTGCAACATTTTACTTAATATTATAGACGAGAAATTCATTATTATAGTCACATTACTAGATTATTTATTTCAGATTTTCAATCAGACTTAGTAAGTCGTTTACTCTCTTGCCATCTGGAATTAATTATTTCCTGTTCTACAAAAATATTTGAGAGCTTTAAGAAAATCAAAATAATATAAAAATGAAGGTTCTGCTGTAAGTCATAATAAAAGTAATCAATTTTACTGTGAAATAATTAATTTTTAACGATATTTTAATTTTTTAAAGCATTTTAATCTGCATAATGCAGATGACAACCATCACATGGACATTAACAGTTACTTGTGACTATAAACAAGATGATTTTATCATTTTAATGAATAAATATAAATGTGAAGTTAAAAAGGATTTTAAAATAACGTCCAAAAATTCAACTCTAATTACGAAAACAATTGGTTCTCATAAAAGTCGAAAATCTAACGATGATGTTGCAGTCTTCAGCATTAAAAAATACACAGTAAATTACTTCCCGACTGGACTTCAAAAACACTTTCAAAATCTCGAAGGAATCGTTATCAATTTCTGTAGTTTGAAGGAAGTTCATCAAGATAATCTAAAGATATTTCCTAATTTGACTTACTTGGACTTAAATGATAATGACATTGAAGTCATCGAAGCTGAAACATTCAAGAACAACCAAAAGTTGAAGCTTATTTGGCTGAAAAGGAACAAAATTTATCACATCGACTTGAATGCTTTTATTGGACCTACAGAGCTGACTAATTTAATCATGGTTGAAAATAAGTGTACAAATTCCAAGGGGACAAATGCCGATGACGTCAAAAAAGTAATTGAAACATTGAATTGCACAAGCCAGGAGTATTTAGCAAAGAAGAACAATGAACCAGTTGCTGAAAAAATAGAGCAGCAAATGCTAAAAAATGAGAGCTTAGTCAGCAATGATTCTCAGTCAACCAGCAACCTCAACTTCCTCGTTAGCTCCATCGAAAAACTAATCAATGAGAAGCTTAACGAAAATTTCAACAAAACTCAAGAATTATTGACAAATTTAGGATTAAAAGTTGACAAAACAGAGCAAGACTTGACAGAAATCAAGAATCAAGTGGCTGAGCTTTACAAAATCAACTCAAAATCTTCAAACGACATGCTTTCCAGACTTGATTTGATTCAACAAACTCAATCACAACTTATATCCAATTGTACTACCAAATATGAACCATCCTCAAACATAACTTTAGCCGACCTTAAAGATACACTCAATGCCATGCAAGAATCTCAAAACAATAATACTAAAAAGCTTCAAGATCCAATAAACTCACAAAATAGTCCACAATTATCAAATCTTACTCAAAGTATAGCTACAATCACTGAGGATTTAGAAGAAGTTAAGAGAACATTAAGCAATACACAAACATACGTCGTGGAAACAATTCAAACTTATGCTGACAACAACACATCGGAACTTACAAAAGTCAAGCAGAACATTGAAGGAACTGAAAAGAAAATTATGTCAAGCGTCCAAGCTGAGTTGAAGGCACTAAAAAGTGATCTAGAAAAAGTAAGAAAGAATAGCCAAAATAAATATAATTTTCCTATTTTGACAACAATTCCGACTACGACGAAAGCTAGTACGGATAAAGATCCAGAAATAATTGAAGATGTGACTACTTTAGATGAATTAACAATAGTCACAAACGATACGACTACACAATCTGTGGATAACAATGTAACCTTAACTACGGTAAATGAAGATAAAGATTCCAACCAGGATAAAACCAACTCAAGTACACAACCTCCTGAAATTGAAGAAAGTTCAACAACAGAAGCTATTGGAAATTTGACTATTCAAGCCGCGGATTCTCAAAATGCTTCGTTAACAAATTCCACAGAAAATATAACAAGCTCAACAATTCAAGTCGCAGAAATAGCAAATGAGTCATCCAAACAAACAGCCGAAAACTCCACAACTCAAGAAGACTCAAAAGCTCAAGTAGACTTAACAGCTGAACCCGCTGACAATGTAAACCGCTTAACAGATATTCCTGCAAACAATGAAGTAGATTCCTTACCAAAATTCATGGAGAATTCTACAGAACAACCAGTAAACAATGTTGAAGAGCCAACAACACTAAAAGACGCAACTGATCACATTATAACACCGCAAACCGCAGTTAACATCAACAATTCATCAACACAAGCAATAATTAATACAAATGAAGATCCAGAAGGCTCTACATCTGCTGAAATAGAAAGCAACAGTGAAAATCCGACAGTACAACAGGAAACCACAATAGAATCGTCTGCAAATAAAACAGCTGATGCTCCGCTGCTATCAAAAGATGATGAAGTGAAGGCATAACATCTAACAAACTACATATATGACAACAAAAGTTGTATAAAGTAAATTAAAAATCATCACGAATTATTAAGGGGAGAATGACATGATGGGAAATTTTTATCATCAGTTTTAAGGTTAAGTTCAGTGGCATAGCCAGGGGAGGGGGGGGGGGGGGTGAGGTCAGCCCAATTTAGTAAAATTTTCAATTTCAAGTGATTTGTAACGAGAAAATCCCAAATCCCCTTTAAATTTTTCCGAACTTCAAAAGCAAATTCCAATCCCCCCCCCCAAATTTCTTGCGACTCCCCTGATTTAAATGTATCACATTATTATTACCAGTTAATTGAAATTCTTATCATAACATTATTTTTCCATCATGTTGTTTTCCCCCTGGAATCAATTTACACCCTTTTGACTCAATTATCATCAAATCATCAGCTATATCTGTTCATCTTGACTTCTGCAAGTCCACAATTCGTCGTATTCTAAGTTGAAGACTTGTGATTTTAAGACGTAGAAAAAAAGTTGTCAAAATAAATTTGAATTTCAATAAAAAAATTCAAAACAATTTAAAAAATTGAAAATTAAGCTTTTATAAAATAATAGTCGAGGGTTGATGAACTAAGGACAATCTAGAGCACATTGATTGAGAATTGTTTATTTTACAGTGAAAAAAAGTGTTATAAAATTTAATTACAAAATCAACTTTAATCAGCAAAATAAACACAGTAAATTGAATTGAGTCATTGATTGTATTTTATTTATTAATTTACATTGTAACAGACAGCAAAAAAGGAATTCAAAGTCAATAGAACTTCAAAGCTGATTATTTATCACCATGACCGTGCCAAGCTCAGTAGCTACGATCCATAGGTGAGTTTAGCAGCCCTGAGTGGCACCATTAAGCTAGTTTAAGCTTTGATTCTATCAATAAATTAATTTTTAGGAGGTGTTCTTTAGAACGCTTCCTTTGCTGCATGGAATTAGAACCAGGAGCGATATTCTTAGGATGGTAAGGCATTTAAGGATTTCTATTGTTGACAATCTGCTCAATAATCCTTTCTAGGTTCTCATTCATCAAGAACTTCCTCACAATGATCGCAGCATTTATCGTGATTCTCATCAGAATCTTCGTTCCATGTCCACAAATTGTTGAATGGCTGAATTACTTTAAATTTGAAGCTACACTCGAGAAGTGCATTCACTACACTGATGAAGGCTGTAATTTATTTTAGAATTCCACTAAAAATACCTTTAAAAAATTCAAATATTTTCCAGATGTGTCCTTCACGGCCTTCTGCATCATCACTCTCTACATCGGATTGACTTACATTTCATATAAATTTGTGGCTGCAACAAAAACTGTGAGTAAATTTGCACAATAAATTGAAGTTCACATGATTGATTGACAATTTATTTGCAATACAAATTAGACATAAAGTCAGTGCTAGTCTGGCTGTTAAAAAGTGAACAAAAAAATTATTCAATTAATATTTTGGGTAAACATGTTTATGTGAAATCGACATGAGTTGATGTTTTTGGTTTAGTCGAGGCACATGAGAAGATTCAGTTTGGTTGATTGAGGTGGTTTTACAAAGATGGCGCTAGTTGCTTGGGAACTTGCTGTACATAAGGAAGGATTGCTTTAGAATTTTGAACCAAATATTTAAGTGAGAGACGTTGAAATATTAAAGTTTTTATCTCATTGACGTACCGCCAGTGGTTACCGACCTTTTTTTATGCCAAGGCACCTTTTATGAAAACTTGTGAATGAAACCCACGACTTACGGTTTGTTGGATTTTCCAAATTTTTTCCGACACTGATGTGTTGCGGCACATGAGTTGGCAATCATTGCGGTACCTTAATATTTTATGGCAGTGATGGTTAACCCGTGTGCCGCAAAAAAAGGTGAATCTCACGAAGTGTGTGTGGTTTACGGTTATGGCTTACTTTAAAGGTGTTCCGAGGCACAAAAAAGGTTGGTCTCCACTGCCATGAAATAGAATCATCGTGACATCAGATCGGAGATTGGAAGTGACATCAGAATTTTGTGAGGCTAACATGTAAATATTCGATGAAGTCAAACATTGTCGGCTTAATGAGACTATTTTGAGATTTTTTTTACTCCGTGTGCCATTCAGAGAAGGGGTTTGACATCCATTAACCTCCCAATCCTGGCTGCACTCCAACAGCTTTATTTAAAATTACTCAAATTAGTTCAAATCTTGATTACCAATGCCTTAATAATAATCTCAATATCTCTTCACATTTTCCAGAGAAAACACAAAGAAGTCATCCCGTTCATGACCTATTTAGCCTTCATGACAATCACATCTTTCCTATTCATTATAAAATGGACGATATCAGCAATAGTTTTTGGATTGTTAACTGGAATATTTTATGGCTACTTCCTGCTCTGTGTTGGTGCTATGTATGAACGATTCTTACACGAACATAACCAAAGACAGCGAGCTGTGAACTATTTTGTTGAGAATCAAGACAATTTTGATTTTAGAGTTCCAGCTTCTGAGACATCAGATGGGATTAGTAATAGAAGCTTAGCTGGAAGTTTTAAATTGAGTCCTTAGCGTGCATTGATGCAGTAAAAATAATTATTTTTGAATGCTAATTTTTAAACAATTTATTTAAAGAACTTAATCATGAAATAAAGGAACTGGATCTAAATTAACAATCATAGCCAAATGTCTTATAGTTTACTAATTATGATCATGACATTCACTGCAGTTTGGAATATGGCAAGGTGGAATAACAAGTTTCTTATCAGTTGGCGTATGAAAATGGACATTGATGCTCACTTTTGCTCGGAATAGACCTCCTCCTAGGGTCAGTGGTAATGTGTAGCTATAAAATTAAAAACAATTAGATTTCTTAACATTTTTTTAAAATTGCAAAATTGTACTTACATTGGTTTGAAGCACCTGATGATCATTTCAAATATTTGCCTAATAAATCTCAGAAAATTCAAAATTTCCTCACAAAAGAAGTTCAAATCATGATTGTCAAAATATGAATTTACTTTAACGGCGGTTTTAACTTCTTCTTCAACCTTCTTGACGTAGATTTTGGCGACTGATGCGAATTTTTGGAAGTACATTTTGATTTTTTTATTGAGAGTTGATGTGATTTGTTATCAAAGGAATTACTGAAACTAGAATGATAGGCTTAGAGAGTTTTCTATAACTTTTATAGTCCAATCAGTCAGTACATAATCATTCATTATCAAAATAATGGTTGCATTGGAAAACTTATGAGAATTTACAATTTAAACTTTACCCCATCATGTTGTTATCCCCTCAAGAAATTTTTATTTAATTTCAACACATTTTTTACAAAAACATATTTTTTCCCTATTCATTCTTGCTCTTAGCACCTTCCTTTGACACCCCTGAACCTAATTTCCCACAAATCTTCAACTTCAACATCCTATAAAGCTTAATCCCTTTAATAATTCCAAAAATCAAAAATCCAAAGAATAAATAAATATCAAAAAACATTTTCTGATAATATGGAACCAATCTGCCTGAATAATCCAAATGCTTTGCACCTTTATGTCTAATAACAAACTCAACATGCCACACAGCCATGTCCCTTAATCTGGGTCGATCTGTTGCAAATGCTTCTAATTTTCTGGCATTTTCTTTGAATGTGCTGTGATTAGTGATGACCTGCTGTATTGATTCCAACAGAGCTGTCTCATTTATTTTTAATATGTCGATAAATTTTGCGACTTTTCTCTCAACCATCAAATGAGAAATTACATTCTGCTCATGAGTTAGTGGAACTAGGACCATTGGCATGTGATTCTTTAACATAACCTCAATCTCACGGTAGTCAGCTGTTGATACGACAAGTTTTACATTTGGATGTCCGATGATCTCAGAAAGTTTGGCATTTTTAGTTGAGAAGATTTTTTGGTTTGGTGGATTTGGTGAATTTGGTGAGTTTGGTGAGTTTGGTGAATTTGGTGAATTTTGAACATTAAAGACCACAGACTGCTTCAATTCTCCAAATACATTCATAAAAACATTCAACTCATCAGCATGCAGCCCATCAACATTAAAAACAATCACACCATCCTTGGAATTGTCCATAAACTCCCTCAAACCTTCATCCTTAACATCCACTACAGGATCAACGTAAGTAAATCCAACTTGAATAGTTTTAGGTACCAATGGACGGACATTACCAAATGCTGGATGAGTAAAAATGAACAAGAAGTTTAATCGCTCAAGAAGTTGATTGCAGGTGACATTCAGGTTAGGATATTCTCTGGTTAATGACCTCCTAATGATCACACAATGATGAAAGCCTCCAATAAACTTCCAGAAGTGATAACAAAAAAATGAATTAAATCTTTGATAAAGTGTCAATTTTGCATGTCTGTAGCCAAGTGCATGTGTTTCTGGGTGGATTGATGGATTGACTACGTTTCCAAAATGGTCGTTCACGAAGTTTAGAGGCTCAGTTTGACTTAGATAAATAACTGGAATGTCTTGAACCTCAGCTATGGCTAATAATTGACAAATCACACAATCGATGATTAAAACATCAAATTTTGTCTCATTTTTCATGATTTTTTTAATTTCTGGGTGTCTCAGTTGCTTGATGGTAAGTCCATAATGTAAATCAGTCAAGTCATTGTAAATTTGCAGCCAATTTTTGTGGATATTTCTCTCAACTTTCTGCAGAGTTTGAGTTTTAAAGTTGAATTCTTTGATATTTTCATGATAATTTCCAAAATGATTCGACGTGAAAATTGTGATATTATGTCCATGTGTTGCTAGATCGTCAGCTAATCGAGCTGCCACTTGTTGATGACTTAAGTAAGGCTGCTGTGAAATTATTAAAATCTCCGATGACTCAACAACTTTTGAAAGCGTTCGAAGGAGAAAAATTAGTAGAATTATTGTGGAAATCTTCATCATTTGCGACCTGAAATTGAAAAAATTAATATTTTTAAATATTGGAATGACTTCAAAGCTCACGACTGTCTTGTTAGCACGACTAAGGCACACTGGCAATAAATTTCAATTCTCAAAACTGTCGACGAGCTTAAAAACTCTCAATAATGTTTCCAAATAAAATTTTACTTTATTCATCGCTCATTGAGCTTCAATTCAGCTTGTTTAAATACAAAACAGACATAAAAGTCTCTAGAACTTACAAAATTGAACGAGAGTTTGAACTTAAGATAGTAAATTTTGTGTCTAAATTAAAAGCACTTTAGTTCTTAATGGATTTCACTATTTACCGTGAGAAAGTTCCTAATTAGCTTCCAAATGGATATAAAAGTTAAATAAAAGGTTGAAGACAGTGTCATTAGGTAAAAGTGAATTGTTAAAAGAAGTAAAGCCCTCAAATCTGTAAGATGTTCAACAATCTATTCTTAAGAGACAAGTTTCCATCCCTAAAAATGGAACTTAGCATGAACATTCTAATTTCAATGCTCAAATTCTTCAAAATATTTGGATTTCTGCCTTACTCGATCGAAAGTTTCACAAAAACTGGCCAGATAAAGCTTCAAAAATTCTATGTAGCTCTAGTCATCATCTTTCTGGTCATCTACTGGTTCATCTTGATTGGAAACTTCTTTGAGAATGACATAACATCGGACAAGCTCACAAGCATCTCAAATTGGATTCAATTGCTAGTCAATGGATGGACATTGAACATTATTTTGGTATTGCCGTTCACAAATGCTTCAACCATGGATGAAATCCTCAAATGTTTTGAGAAATTCGATAGTCGAGCATCCTTGATGTCAGTTGATGTCAGCAAGTCAAAAATGAATGGAATTGTCTTAATCAGCATCATTTATTTCATGATTTTCATACTTTACATGGGTGGATATGAAATTTATGTTGTCTTGATTCATCATCGACTCACTAGCTTCATTTATTGGATCATAACTTTCATTCCAACTGTCGTGTCTCTGGCTGCACTCTGTTTCTCATTCTGCATGCTGATTCTCATCTTCTATCGTCTCAAAATTGCCATCAAAATTCTCAAAAATGAAGTCTCGAGTGTCCAAAATTATCCTCAACTCTTTAAAATTCTGGAAGTGAAATCATTTAGCATCGAGCAGAGTGTCCGTTCCAATATGCCGTCAATTTTTCATCTTTACCAAGAAATTCTCGACTTGAGATTGGCTTTGGAGAAATTGCTTGGTCCAATTTTCTTGTCAGCTTTTACATCAATCTTTGTCATCACCACAACCCAAATTTATCATTGCTACACGCTGATTGTGACTAAGAAGGATGCACATTTGGGATTTTCTTTGTGGGCTGTTGGACTTTGTGTTAATATTATTGTGATTAATGTGTCGGCGACAATTGGACTGACTACTTTGTGTGAGATGATCGCTAATCAGGTGAGGTATTGAGGATTTTATGCTTATTGTAATTTTGAGTTGCTTGATGATCAAAAATGACTGTTGATTTGGGTTCCAGCTTTTAATTGTTTTTCCACAAAGGTTTGAAGATGAAAAAATATAAAGCAATGGTTCTTAGCATTTTCATAGCTAATGGAATTGAACTACCTTATAAAAAAATTAAGGCTGAATTCTAGTTCTAATTTATTAGAAGTTAGGCAACCTTGGGTACTTAACACCTGTGTAGTATGCAAAAATTAAATTAAAACCCAGGTTCTAATGCTACTCGGGATACCATACAATACTAAAATCAAATTATGACGTCATTCCAAAGTATAGTAAATACTTGGATAGGGTGACCCGTGTAGTCACAGAAAACTAGCCTTGGCAGTTTTTATAAAATCACGCTGGCTTGTTCTTGAATATTTCCAGACATTTTAGCCTTATATCTTACAGAATATGTAATGATTATTATTTATTAATTTATTTATCACCGCTGTTCTATTTTCCCATGAATCAATTATTACTGTTTTTAAACAACGAGTCATAAAATAGTCGTGAAAATGAATTTATTACTAATGAATATTTTATTAGCCATTAAGTGGTTCTTGTTGATATATTTGACAAGTTATGTTCGTGATTTTTGTTATGCTGGATATTCCGCTTAGTATATAAGTTACAAATAAGCTCTACAATTAGGCTATTCTAGAATTCTAGACTGTCCATCCGCATTTTTGGTTAAAAAGCGAGACAAGTCCTGATTTCAGCTCTGAAAAAGCGGGACAAGTCAAATTTTAAAGCATTTTAATGCATAACCAAGAATAATAGTTTCAAAAAGCGGGACACTAAGGATTTTAGGCACAACTTTGCTTAAAATCGCGGTATTGTCTTGCTCAAAAGTACGCAGTTTGGCAAATCACACATTGAATCGTTAAATTGATGAAGCTGTAGTTGATGATAACTTTGGTGAGGTCAGAATTCTGTTGAATTTATATTATGTCTATGCTGTTCAGTGTTGTCAAGAAACCGACCCTAAAACTAGTAAAAACTCAATCTTAATTCTTATCTAATTCCTAGTCCCACTCCTGCTCACGTTTGATTGCAAAAATGCGTCTAAATGGATCAAAATATTTCACATCAAATGAGATTCAAAAGATGACGGAAGTCTTTCAATTGACCAACACTGACATTACATTTTCAGCTATGGGATTCTTTAAAGTTAATTATCGCATGCTTTGTGGAGTAAGTTTAATGATTTATGTAAAATTTAATATTTTATAAAATTTGCAATATTTTTTCACAGATGATAAACTCAATTACAACATACTTGATCATCTACATTCAGTTCTATGCACTTTATGCCAACGATAGTGGATCTGTGTTCCATAATAAATTTGGCAACTAAGCTTTATTGGAAAATGATTTTAGACAGGCTCTAAAGACCTAAACTTTTTAGAATAGGTTGATTTAAATGTCGATTTTAAGAATTGTCAATGTGGATTTAATCATGACTTTTGGATACACCGCAGCTTACTTACTTAACTACTTCTCTGGCCGTACAAATCAATTGTGATACATGGCCTCCCTTGGATGGCGCCTGAAGCTGGCTACTGCTTGTCAATTACCAATACCAAGTGCACCGTAGCTAAGATTTAATTATGTGCTGCTGAAAATTCAATGTAATTAATGCCAGAGGTTGTTTTTAGCGCTCCTAAAACCCTCTACCCTTGATCGATGTACTGCCGTATAGGATATGAATATAATTTATGTGTGAAATGGGTTGCTGCCTTAAGGTCCTTAGGGTCCTCAGGCTAAGGAGCTCTAAAAACTGATCCCAATAATCCCAAAACTATGCTTCAAGTGTTAAAAATAATAAAAATAATTATTTTGGATGTCAATTTTATTTTAAACTCTCTCATTACAAATCATTCTCAACTGCAGTCCAAAAAAACAGCAGCTGATGAAAAAATTCTCTCCCTACAAATTATTGATGCATTCAATAAGATCATCGCTGACTTCTCTCAATTCCTTAACAAATCGGTTCTTTTCGTCATAAAAAATATCAAGAGAATATCCACCTTTGGACAATGCAAAAGCCTTAATTCGTCCGTTCATGTACTTTTCGATGCTATTGTCCATGCACTTCAATTCTCCCTCAGTTCCAGCTGGCATTTTAATCTTGATTTGTGTGTCAATATAATTCTTGACAATTCCATCGCATTCGTCACTTCCTTCAAATCCATTCAGCAAGTTCTTATCAAGTTCTGGCACCAAAAGTCCTTCTGGATTTTGCTTTAGCAAATAAAGTTCATAACATTTCAATTCAGTCTGAGTCAATGGCACTTGTGGCTTTGTCATTTTCTTAAAAATTTGTCCAGCAATGATGTCGAAAGTTGGATGACAAATTTGTAGTGCAAATCGTGCAGAATAGCGGAACTTCTTTAAATTCTCATTCTGGATGTCACGTTGAATATTTTTATGATCGATTGGCTCAGAAAGTTTCAATTTTCGTTGAATGCACAGGTCAATTTCGTTTGCGGTGACAAAATAGAATAAAATTGAGATAAGAATTAATGTCTTCATGATTATTTCTTATGACTTATGTCTGTGAAGATTAAAAGAGAACTGAAAAGAAATTTATTTTGGTAATTTTATTTTTTGTTTTGATTGCTTCAGTCTAAAACAAGCTTCTGGAAGATTATGGAGGTTCATTAACAAATGGTGTCTTGCTATCATGTCTATATGAAGTGACACTATCTCTAAACTTAACTCTTAATTGCTCTCAATGACCCTTCACCGATCCAATTTTGAACTTAATGACCTCCCTCACTTCTGAACCTTACCAACCAAAGACCTGTTTCAGAAACGCAATAAATGTGCCTCCGTTTGGCTTTACATGGCTTCAGCTCTAGTGTTAATTAGTGTTTATAATATAGATTGGTGAAAAGTAAGTTCCTAATGGGAAATCTTTCAAATATTCTCATTTTTTAACCAAAACTAATTCTGTATTCGCTAAGGCACTCACGTTTAACTTCTTTCTTTCTTGGGACGATCTGAAAATTACTGAAAACAAAGGTTGCGAAGCACTGCACAATACCAAGAGTAGTCTTCTCTTTGAAAGCCGAATCTCATTCATTTCAATCAATACTTCCTTACTTAAGAAGTCAAGAAAATCCCGTTGGTATTTGTGATGTAAAAGTTCTCAGAGAAAAATAGTCAAAAACATCTGAAAAACCAGAAATTTTTCTCTGGCACGTGTTCTTTGAATGCTCATCCGATTGTCTCTCAAAAATGCTCAGTTTTGATTTCTTGTTCGTCTGAAGAGAAAGGCTTTTGTGAGCTGCTTTGCATTAAGTTGTTAAGTTATTCGCAATTTACCGTTAGTTGAGCAAACGTTGTCTGTCGACTTGTGACGCTAGACCTCGACATAAAGTCTACTTTCCTAATTTGTATTTGGTGATTATATTCCTGTTAAAATGGAATATCATAGTCTTAAGTGCTAAATATAATTCATAAATTAGTAGATAAAACCTACAAAACGTGGGAAAATGCGTCCACTATGATCAAGGTTGAGGATGGAAAGAAAGAAGCCATGTCAAATGGTTTAAGGTGAAATGAGGGATGAAGCGCATAATGGTCACGACAGACATTCTGTCTAATAACGTTAGAAGTATGACAAATTCAGGAAGTTTTAAAGATAAGGTAAATTTAATGATTTAACGTTGCTAGCTGACATTGTCCCCTGCTTAATTTGTCTCTATCTAACGCTTGTACTCGACTGATGAGTCGCTTTCATCATCACTTTCATGACCTTTGTATGTCCTTTTGCTCTGATTATTCAACTTAAAAGTCGAGTGATTCGGAACAATAATAATTGACTTCAATCTTTGTTTGTTTGGGATGACAGGCTGTGCAGCGGGATTAGAGCATCCTGGTAAGGATGAAACAGTTGGGTGGGATTGAATAGAGCGGCTGGTATTTTGGATATGTTCCAAATCTACCACAATTCTATCGTTAGCCTGTTGTGCTGCAACAACTGGACGTATAGCGTCGAGTTGTCGTTTATACTGACGATAATTTATCAACCATTGATTTGCTAAAGTTGGTACAGCACAGAATTTTGATGGTGGATCTCTAATCCTAGCGATTAAAATCAAATCATCCTGATTTATATCAAAGGCGTTCCAATTGATGCTAGATATTTCCACCTTTTTGATTAACAGCGTCCTTTTTGGATGATTTGATTTCATTATTGGGCATACAGCATCATCAATCGAAATTTCACGCCACTCAATTGCCTTTTGGCAGTCTTCAATGGATGCAAAAGTAATATTTGCGTAATATCCATTTGCTTGGTGTGTGCTATCGCAAAAAATCCTCACCAGCTTCAAACTCTCACCTGATAAACGTGTCATCAGTTCCATAAAGCAGCAACTTATAGGCACACGTGCTAAGCGCACTGTCCTTTCATTTTCTGGATCTTCATACAATGGATCTCGAGTCAAGTTTCGCAATTTTCCAGCTAATGAAGAAGCTCCATCTCTTACCTCGATGCTGCGAAGGAATCTTGCTTCTCCAAGCTCAGTCATCAACTTGATGATGGAATCAGGATCCAAATTGTGACTATTTTCCATTGTGAGAAATAAATTTTGCTTTAAAATGCCGTAACTAACCTTGCAGCTGAGCGTATGACGTCGTTCAGAGGACAAATTCGAATCGGTTTCCCTCTGGCTGAGCGACTTTAACGGCTTTTTGACCCCTTTTGAAAACAAGATTGTATTATTGTCACAATTATTGTGACTTTTTTCATCAATTTCCAATTTTGCCAGACGGACTACAGAACGTCTTTGCAAAATATCTCCATTATGTAGTTTGACGTCGGCTATACGTGCAAAGCCATCACGTCCCTTGTAAACATTAATTATTAATCCTCTTTTCCAATTTGCAGGCTTTACAGTTGGATCGGTGTAAATGACGTAATCTCCAACTTCAAGACCTTCTTTTTTGTGCCGTCTTGCACCTGATTGTGTGATGATTGGTAGATATTCTTTGATCCAGCGCTGAGTAAGCTTTTCTGATGTCTTTTTAGCTCTAATTATCAAATGATGTAAGTCATCATTGTTTGGTGCTTCATTTTCTCCGACAAAGGCGTATCCTGGATGCTGTTTTATCAAGTAATTTGGAGTGATTGGGCATAAATCATCTGGGGAAATTGGCAAGTGCGTCAGCGGTCTAGAATTCATTATATCCTCCACTTGCAGCAAAATACATTCAAACAGCTTCTCCTTAATGACTTTTTTATGCATTTCCGAATGTATGGCTCTCTTGACATCCTTTATTAATCGTTCCCAAACACCTCCCCAATGTGGAGTCAGCGGTGGATTGAAATGCCAAGTAATTTTCTTGTCTTTTGCCAATTGTTGATGATGCTCTGCCTTAATAATGTTTGACGCTCCTAGGAAGTTCCTTCCATTGTCACTATAGATATGCCTAATAGGTCCTCTTCTTGTCCATAGATCCTGTATTGCCAGCAGCATTTCATCTGCTGTTAATGTATCCAATTTGCGTAAGTAAACTGCTCGGGTTATCATGCAAGTAAATAAGACGATATGGACGTCCTTTTTGACATACGAATTCCCTGCATATATTGTTATTGGACCCGCACAATCTGCTCCTGTATACTCAAAAGGTTTACTTCCGCTGGCAACGCGATAAGCAGGTAAAGGTGCTGTTGGTGGGATTCGATGCATTGCTCTCATTTCGACACAATACAAGCATTTATGCTTTACTCTCTTCATTGCTCTTCTTGGATCAATTATCCAGGCCCTTGCTCTAGATTCTGCAATAGTTCCTTCGATTCCAATGTGCTTATTTTTGTAATGCAAGTCCTCTAAAAGCGAATGTACACTTTCATGTCTATTTGGTAGTATTACAGGACATCTCATATCATAAGGGATTAAAGGATCATTGTACATTCTGGTTTTTGCTCGTATCAATTTTTCTTTATCCAGAAATGGATTTAATGTGTACAGTTTGCTTGATTGTGCTACTGAAACTCCTCTGGCTAGACTTTTCAGCTCTTTTTTGAAAATCACTTCTTGAATTCGTGAGAATATAAGCTTCTCACCTGCATCAAGTTCCTCTGTATCCAGTACTGGATCTTTTTTCAGCTTTTCACCTCTTATTGCTTTTAACATGTTATTTTTGAATCTGCATGCCCATGAGATAACGGTTTTGTACCAGTCAAATCTAGCACGGATATCAGGTCTCACAGTTTCAAATATTCCTGCGTAGTATTCTTTATTCCTTTTAAGAACTTCTTTTTCAGCATGCATTGCTAACAGTATTCTTTGCTGTTCCATATTAATGTTGGAACGAAACTTATTTGGCCATGAATGTTCTTCTTCATACAAGAATTGTGGACCTTTAATCCAACGATGGTCTGCCGACGAAAAGTCGATGTCATTCCACTTTGTTCCATCGTCTGCGACATTATCACTACTGGCAATGTAACGCCAGTCATTGACGTTTGATATTTCCCGTATTTCTGAGATTCTTGGTGCCACAAATTGTTGAAGCTGCAAAGTATGTGAATACAGCCAACGCAAAACTGTTATTGAGTCTGACCAGAATGTAGTACACGCTATGTTAAGTCTTTTGTGCTGTGTTTTTATAGTTTTAGCAATTTTTGCACCGATAACAGCTGCCATTAATTCCAATTTAGGGACGGATGCATATTGAACAGGAGCGACTCGGCACTTTGCCATTACAAGCGCGACATTAATCTGTTTATTTGTCATGAAACGAAAATAGGCAACTGCAGCATAAGCTTCCGGTGAAGCATCGACAAAAACATGTAATGCTACATTACTGGATCTGATGCTATGATATCCATAGTGCCTGGGTATCTCTAATTTGACAATTTCTTCAAATTTTTTCAGCCATTTGATCCATGCTTCAAATAAATCTTCTGGGATATGCTGCTCCCATGAAAGTCCACGTCGCCAAATTGCTTGTAAGATCATTCGTCCCCTGATATGAAAATGTGATATTAGACCTAAGCAGTCGAATATCTTCATTACGAAGCTAAGCACTTCGCGTTTTGTTGGATGATAATCATGTTCTAATGATAAGCTCACTAGTTCAAGATTATTTGTCATTTGGAAAGTAAACACATCCTTTCTTGGGTCCCAAAACAAGCCAAGTACTTTCCTTGATGTCATATCTTGATCCGATCCCAGATCCATGAGCAAATCTTTGTCAATTGTTTCTTGTGGTAATTTTTTAAGAACTTCCTCGCTATTTGAGCGGAAGTCTACCATATTCCAGCTAATTTCACCAAATAGATCTATAGTTTCCTTGGCTGCTTGCACTCCTTCTTCTTCTGTATCTTCTGAATTGAATGCATCATCCATATACATGGATGTTAGACCAATTTTGCTTGCCAATGGGTACTTTTGCATATTCTTTTCGCAATGATCGATTCTGATGGCATTTGCTTGCGACGGAGAACAAGTCGGTCCAAAGAGCATGTTTTGAAAAATATAGATGGTCGGATCCTTTGAGCTGTCGCAATTTCTCCACAGGAATCTCTGCACTTGCTGATCTTCCGATATTATTCTTACTTGATGGTACATTTTTGTGACATCACTTACTACCGCAATTTTCCTCTCACGAAAGTGAAAAAGAGCTTGTGTAAGTGGTACTAGATTATCAGGACCTTTGAGCAGTCTTGAATTAAGCGAAACACCTTGATGCTTACATGCTGTGTCAACTACCCATCTCGGCTTTGGTGGTTGCTTATTATTGTTGAACGTGACAAATCCAACAACGTAATTAATACGACTATGCGGAATTTCTGGATTAAGATCCTCTTCAGTTGCTTCCCGTACAAATCCTTGTTCTCTTAAGGATTTTTGATGATCATTTGCCCATTGTGTCATACCTAAATGCTTCAGGCGTGCTTCTGTAGCATGTAAACGTTTTAAAGCTGTGCTATAGTTATCAGGTAATGAACATTCATCATCTCTCCAGTACAACCCGATCTCATATCGATTTCCGTCTCGTCTCATCGTATTACTTTGAATATTCTTTGCTCGAATATCCTCTTCACATAAATATTCCTTGTTTGAGTCAACGATTCCAACTGATTCGAAACTGTTATAGTATTTTACTAATTCGTGAAGTTCCTGCAGTGACTCCTTCTCTTGTTCAGTTTCTAATTTATGGATACATTGTGATTCTGACTCACAACAATAGAATACTGATTTTGATGGAACTGATCCACCACAAATAGTCCAACCCAACGGCGTACGCTCTGCTATAGGCGCAGATTCTTGCGTGAAGTCTACTATTGTTTCAAGTGAAATCATCCATTTAGCATGGGGAAGTCCTAAAAGGATTTGCGGCCTCTGCTCCGTAAACTTAGGAATTAAAGCATTCGTAAGATACGGATATTCCGCTTTTATCGCTTCTGGATCTTGTTCCTGCTTTGGCAATGATAACTTCTGGAGCGCTATCATTCCATTCAAGCTAATGCGCTTGTCAGGATCTCCAATTGGAGCAATATTTAAGTCATGTAAATATGCATTTGACTCTAAACGTTCTGTTTCCGGTTCCAACCATGTTAACTCGAGTTTATGCGGTTTCCCTGGAATGTGAAGTTTGTCAAATAGCTCCTTGTTTACCAATGATGCACTTGCTGCTCTATCCATCAACAGCGTTGTCTCGATTTTGTTTCCATATCCATCTATTACGTAGATGGGAACGACTTTAAAGTAAGTTGATTTCGTTCTAGATACAAGTTTTATAGATGCCCGACTACTCGATGGTTGTGAAGGTTCCTTTGCTTCATCACACGATGGTGGATGCATCATTGTTGTATGTGAGGCAGGATCTGTGCAGTTTTTCTTATAACACTTCGGAATTCGTCCAGATCTTGGACAAGTCGTACTGTTGTGTTGATTAGACGAAAGACATTTAGCGCATATCTTATTGCTAGCGAGAAATATAGCTTTCTCGTCATATTGTAGCTTTCGAAACTCATCGCATCTATAGAGCGGATGCTTTTTGTCTTTTCCACAGTACCAACAATCCGGTCTCTCTCTTTTCCACTTTTTCGTCGGAAATGGTTTTGGTTTATCCTGTCCTTCATACTGAGCCACATTAATTGAAGCTTTTACCTTCGATTCTTGCTTTCCATTTGACGGTGTTGAGACTTCCCGACTTGGAAGATTCGGTACGAACGACCACATAAATTCAGAAAATTCTACTAAATTTCCACGTAAGTCCTTATCGTGAATATGTGAGTGCCACTTTGATTCTATTGCGTAAGGCAGCTTGTTGGTAATTCTGGAATTTATTGCAATCTGGAGTTCTGGCTGGAAATTGAGATCCTTACACAAAAATATATAGCTGTCAATTTCAACTAGAAAATTTTCTAAAGACTTTCTGTTTTTATCTGGAATTTGAGTCCAGTTTTCAAGCCTTTCCCATGCTTTTGCAACTGCTTCTTTCGGCTGGAAAAATCTCTTCCGAAGAGCTTCCAAAATCTGATCTGCGTTCGCAAATGGCTGATTAAGTCGCGGCTTTACATATCGTTCTGCTTCACCAATTAAGGAATCTCTCAGCTTGTCGACCATTGTTTCATTATCATACTCTCCTCTTTCCTTCATACGTTCATAGCTGGCTTTAAATGTAAGCCATTCAGCTGGGTCACCAGAGTATCTCATAAGCTTGGGAGCTTCCAATCGTTGAACATGGAGCCGCTGATAATAAGCCAACTTTTCGGTTTCACTCATTGCATCGATCTCTTGTCTGGTTTTTTGACGAGATAAAGAAGTACTGCTATGACTTGTTGTTATTGCTGGCTGTTTAAAGATTTCAGTTAATCGACGTTTGAACTCATCATCGCCTTCATTTACAGTAAACAATTCTAGAGCATCTTTTTCTGTAATTTTTTCAGCTGAATCATCTTCGCTAAAACTTTGTGATAATGTTGATGCCAGAATTTTTGCTTTTGCCGTATCATTATGATTTTTACTTAAACGGCGATTTTCCTCCTCTAGAAGCTGAATTTTTGCTAAGGACTTCGACAGTTCAGTCTGTCGAACGGCATCTTCACGTTCTTTAGCTTCGAATCGTTCTGTTATGCCTTGTAGGAGCAATCGATTTGCCTCAAGTTGTTTCTTTAATAACAACACTTCATCATTTGATTTTCCTTTTTCCTTCGCTTTCTTTATACAGTCAGTAGTGCAATACCATTCATCTAATTTATCTGAATCTTCTCCTGCCTTGCTGGTACACTTTAAATGAACTATGCGTTCACACCAAGTGCATTTTATTCCAACCTCTGGATTCTCTGGGTTCGTACAGGATTTAATCAAACATTTGTATGGAGTCTCTGGCATGCCATTTTCATTTAGCTTAATTATGGCTGACATGTTGATGAAAAATTGATAAGCTCAATTTTTTCTTTCTTAACCAATTTAACAAAACAAAGTTCTCCCAAAAAATATTTTTTTTGAATACGATGTTGACTTTGTGGGAATGTTAAATTTGTGGTTTTGAATATAATTATGTCGACTTGTGACGCTAGACCTCGACATAAAGTCTACTTTCCTAATTTGTATTTGGTGATTATATTCCTGTTAAAATGGAATATCATAGTCTTAAGTGCTAAATATAATTCATAAATTAGTAGATAAAACCTACAAAACGTGGGAAAATGCGTCCACTATGATCAAGGTTGAGGATGGAAAGAAAGAAGCCATGTCAAATGGTTTAAGGTGAAATGAGGGATGAAGCGCATAATGGTCACGACAGACATTCTGTCTAATAACGTTAGAAGTATGACAAATTCAGGAAGTTTTAAAGATAAGGTAAATTTAATGATTTAACGTTGCTAGCTGACAGTTGTCTTAGAAATTGTTAAGAACAAATCAAAAATAATTCAAAAAAGTGTTAAAAATCCAGAATTTCACCATTAAAAACCCCAATAAAAGTAAACCAGTTCTAAGAATAATGATGGGAAAATACATATTAATTGTGTCATTACTGATAATAATCCAAGGCAATCAAACATCATCCAAGCCACAAGTTAATACTCAAGTCAATAACTCTAATCACGAAGAACCTTCAAATCAATCAAAATCGGATGCTTGCGTAGCTGAAAAATTAAAAGAAACTCCAAATTTAAATTCAACAGAACTCAAAAAAGCGCGGGAAATTGCTCGATATTTATGCACGAGTGGAATTGACAGAGATTTGAGAGTTAAGTTCAATGAAGTGATTCGAGAACGTGGAGCTTTAACAACAGCTAGAATCTCATGCTACAAATCATACTTAATGCATTTAAATGCATCAGGTCCACTTGTGATGACTTTTGAGGAACATTTGCGTGACATTTTCAACACAAAATCAGAATGTCAAAAGGAAATTGAAGAAATTAATACAAAATGCTTTGAAGAGTCAACAACAAGTCCATTGAACTGTGAAGTAAGGAATAAGAAATTCTTGGCAGAAGCTTTTTTAAAGATTTTAATAATCGCAAATGGAAGTTACAGCCTGGAAGTGAGGAACATTGAGAGGGAAAATTATGCAAATCATTTGAAGAAAATTCAGAATCAAAAGTTAAAATGTACGGCAGTTGAAAATTAGGATTAATAAAAAGTTTTTAATTAATTAAGCTAGATTTTGTTTTACTTGAGCTTGTTTTACTTACAAACATTTACTTGAGATGAGTAAAGATCCGCTCTATCATAGCTAGCCTTTAGATCCGTTTGACCCAAGCTAGTATTTGGATCTGCTCGACCTGTGTCAGTCTATAGATGTGCTCAACCTAAGCTAGTCTTCAGATCCGCTCGAACGAAACTAGTCTTAAGATCCACTTTATTAAAGCGTACTTAGGCTCCACTGGATGCACATTATATCTGTTTAGTGCTTCAAATCGAACACTTCATCCTGAAATTCTTAAGTCAAAAAAATCCAAATTATTGACAATTCTTATTTCATATTTTTATTAATTTTTTTAAGGTTTTTTTTCAGATATTTTTCGCTATTTAAGTTTGGGTTTTTTTACAAAAAAAAATTCATTTTTATTGCTTCACCTTTCTACTTTTTTTCATACGTTTTTAAACTTTTTTTTTTATTTATCATTTATTTTTCACCACCCCCACACAATTTGACATGGAAACAGATTTTTACTTAAAATTAATTATTGAATATTTTTTCATTTATTTAGTTTAAAGATTTTTTTTTCATGATTGAGGCTAGAAACGAGGCTAGAAGATTAAATTTATTTTAAAAATTGACTAAAAATGGGTTTGAAATTATTCAAAATTTTTCAAATTTGCAAGTTCTAGATTTTTTCATGTCTAAGTTTTTTTAAAACTATATTTAATTTACTTTTCGAAAGTAAAATTATTAAAGAAATTTGCCTTTTAATAATTCTGAATCCAAAGTGTTGATCAATTCTAGTACGGAAATTAAAATTTAAAATCGAATTTATATTAAATTTGAATTCTGTCCAAGCATTTTTTTTGTATCTATTCTATTCGATATCTACTTAACGATTTTCATTAATTAACCTTAATTCATTTAACTTAAATTTGATAAAGATTCTTTTTAAGGAGGATAAAAATTTAAAATTTTATAGATTTTATTATTATTATTTTTATAAGAAAGGAACGTGAAATTATTATTTTATAAATAAATAGTTCATTATCAGCTACAGATTCTTGTAAGTAAAATATTATTTTTTTAAAAAAAAGTTATGAGTGGTTAAAATGATTTAAAATTGTGAAAACAGATAATTTTTCAAAATTTTTAAAAAATTTAACTTTGAAGAATCCAGTATTAAAGTATTGAATTTTAAAAAATTAAAGCTTTAAAAATATAAAACTTTTTTCACAATATAGAATTTTAACCAAACTGATATTTATGGGGATTCATGAAATTTTGAGTTTCCGTCACTTAAAAGTTGATTAAAATTTGGGTTTTTTTCATGATACAGATTTTTCAATTTAATACACACTATTTAATAGTTTAAGCAAATCTCAAAAATCATTTAAAATTTTTTCAAATGTTTTCTTTAAAGTGAAATTTCAAAAAAAAATTAAAATTGTTGAAAAATTAATTTTTTAAAATCACAATTTCACTTCTTTCTTAAAAACTTAATTTAAAATTTTCAAAAAAAAACTTTAAACAACTTTTGAGATTCTAAATTGACAACAGATCAGTTGCACTTAATTATATATTTTATAGGCCAGTTTTGAAAGCAAATTAGTTAAATTTATACACAACTTTTTACTTACAAAACTTCTCAATTTTATGAGATTTATTTCATACTTTTAAAATTGTTTTACATAATTATTATTGATGAGGTTTGACCTAGTCGAGATTCTTTAAAGGAAATTAATTTTTTTGACATTAATTTCCATCTTTTCAACACTTTTCTTTCAGATTTCAACGAATTTTTTTAAAGAATTTAAATAAATTTTCCTACTTAATTCTTGGGTCAGCCCCCCTAAATCCAACCTAGCCAGTCTAATTATACATTTTTTTTTTTCAATTTTTTTCTTAGAATTTTTCCTAATTTTTTCTTGATATTTTAAATTTAAATCTCAAAAATTTGCAGTAAATTAATATAATTTAAACCCAATCATCTAACCCTCCAACTCACTCCCCCACCAAATTAAACATAATTTTTTTTCCAATATTTTTTTTTAAATCGTGAAAGCAACACTGCTGGACTCTTATCAGTACATGTGAATATGTGTGTGTGTATGTGTGTATCTGACTATCATAATTGTCTTAATAATTAAGTATTTATTTTAAGTAAACTTTTTTTTACTAAGTTGCAGGCCAAATGTACGTAGCAGTAGCCATTGCTCAATCAAGCATCTTGTACATGTCATCTAGTTGTGGCTTAAAATAGCTACGAATTTGTGGTCTTCGCGATTTGAATGTTGGTGTAAGAAGTTGATTCTGTATTGAGAATGGATCTGGGTGGAGGTAAATGTCTTTGACCTAAAATAAATATGAGAATTTTCATTAAAATTGCATTTTTGAACGTTTAACTCAATAATACTTACTTGCTCAAAAGACTTTAGTCCAGCATCCTTGCCAAGAGATATCATATCGCTCAAAATAAGATGCTTAACCTCTGGATTATTACATAAGACAGTCAGCGTTCCTGGGATGTTGTTGGCAGATGCCCAAGCTTTTATGGTCTCAACATCAGGAACAACAATTGCAACGATACAGCTCTGAAATTAGAAAAATCATTTTTAAGTTATGTTTTAACTTTTAGGCTATGAATTTTTTTTCGAGGTTATGTGACAAATTTTAGGGTTAAGTTGAAATGACGCAGTATTTTGAGGTTTAGGAGCATTTTTAAGGTTAAGTTGCAATGTTTTGAGGTTAGATTAAATTATTTTGAGGTAAGGTTGCATTTTTTAAGGTTATGTCAACGATTTTCTCACCTTCAGACTCTCTCCATGCACAAAGACTTGCTCAACATATTGTGAATTTATGTAAATATTCTCTATCTTTTCTGGCACAATGTATTCGCCCTGACTTAGCTTAAAGATATGTTTTTTGCGATCGATAATTTTCAATGTTCCATTACTCAACCATTGACCTATGTCGCCTGTATGATGCCACCCTTGTGAGTCTATTGTCTGCATGGTTCGTTCTGGATCACGGTAATATCTGAAATGAATAAAATTGGATTAGCTTTTTGAGATTTAGAGCCTTTATGCTAAGTTACCCTTGAAAAACACAAGATCCTTTGATGCAAACTTCACCTTGTTGATTAGCTGCATAATATTCCATTTCTGGGACATCCACAAGCTACAAAGAATATAAAATTGAATTGACAGTCCACAACCTTATGAATCAATAGTCATACCTTAATGCAAGCACATCCAATCGGCGGTCCAACATGTTCAACCATATAATCACCCTGTATTGTCAACGTAACAGCAGCAACACACTCAGTCTGTCCATAACCTTCAACAACAATACATCCAAGTGCACAACGTACGAATGTCAAAACATTTCCAGCCAATGGAGCTGATCCAACGACCATCAACCTTAGTCGACCGCCAAATGCTTCTTGAACCTTTCGGAATACTAGCTTGTCCCACAAACTATTTCTTCGAATGACTCCACGACGAATTTCAGCTTCTTTTGAATTTAATGCCATACGGAACAGCATTCGCTTGATTGGCGATGATGAAATTTCATTTTGAATTTTGTCGTAGACGCGGTTGAGAAGGCGAGGCACTGCTGGCATAACTGTTGGCTTCAAAGCCTATAAAATGTGGAAATTAATGTAAAAATGTTAATTTTTTAAGTCACCAGAGGGAATTCGTACCTTTAAATCGTTAGTCAATTCCTTTATGTCACCGGAGTAGTAGCCAACGGACCCACCTACATAAAACATTGAATTTTCACAGGCACGCTCAAGCATGTGAGCCAATGGTAGAAAAGAGATCATAACATCACCGACACGAGGCTTGTGCTCACCTATGGAATGAAAAAAACGCGTTTAAAATTTTTCCTCCTTGAGATAATCGCGCTCAAAACTCACCTAATTGCATATTAACACAAACTATACAAGCCAAAACATTCTTATGTGTAAGCATTACTCCTTTTGGATTTCCAGTCGTTCCTGACGTGTAACAAATCGTACAAATATCACTCGGTTTTGGCGGCACTTCTGGAAAGCCTTTTGATGCTCCCAACTTCTCAACTTCCTCAAACGAATGAATATCAATTCCACGATTCTTTGCACGTTGTACGGTCGCCGGTCGTAATGGCTTAATTACAATAAGCTTTTTGAGATTCTTCGGTGCCTTATCAAGTAACAAATTGACTTTCTTGTCATCTTCAACAACAACGACTGTCGATTCTGTCTGATTAACGATGAATGCACAGGCATCTGGACCGAGAGTGTCATAAAGTGGAACTAAAATGAGGGAATAGTCGTAGCAACCTTGTTCGCATAGAACCCATTCTGGGCGATTCTGTGAGTAGATGCAGACAAATGTCTTTTGACCGGGTTCGAGACCAAGGGCTAGCAGACCTGATCCGAAGTTTTTGGCACGTAAAAGTGCTTCGTTGTAGTTCATCCACTAAAAGAGAAGATTGAGTTAAGGAATTGTTTATTTTTTAATATCTAGGCTGGCATTTTAGGAGCAGAGCTTGAAGTTGACTCGACTTCGAGCTGTTATGGAGTTTTTATGTATCCTTTATGTACTCTAAGTCTTGAAGAAGCCATTAAAGCACAGAAAGGTGTACATGAGATAGCTGTTGTGCTGTAGTTTCACCAAAGTCAAGCTTCCAAGATGCCAGTCACCAAAAAACAACTCACCTGATAAGGAGACGACAACGAGTCCCTCCATCCTAGACACTGTCCATTATTAGACTCATATGCTCCATGTCTGAATGTTTGATAAAGTGTCTGACAGTCTTCAGTCAAATAGCTAACAAATTTTCCATCTTTGGCATCTTTTGAGAACCGTGAGACGTGAATCTGATCAGGACCCTGAAAATTAGTAAATTATTAGTAATAAAGTTGTAAGTTCGCATCTAGTAATCCAATTAAGAACAACAATTCTTATTTATTTTAAACGAAATTGATCAAAATTCATGATACGAACAACAGAATGAAATCTGAATCATTGCCAAATTAAAAGGTAGACAAAATACAACGAAAAGTTCATTGAGCAATTAATCAATTACATTTCTCGAATTCCTGTTCCGTGTTTTAGTTGATTTGAAGGTAGAATTTTGATGTACAATTTTTGCTAAAGTGTCTCTTAGAAGTATTGAGGTTGAAGCAGGTGAATTGGGGCAGTGATTTGGTGCTAATTTTATTTTATCAAAAAAGATTTAACAACCATAAATAATCAAAAAAGGCACACATGGCATTAGAAATTTATTTCCCAATAATCCTCACGCTCAAAAATTGTCACAAGACTCATTTTTAATTTTTCTTCTATTTTCTTCTCAATAGCCATAAAAATGGCATCAGTTGCTGCTTAAAAAACTTTTACGCGATTATTTTTTTTTATTCATTCTAAAAATATTTGTAAAGAAAATAAAATTAAGTTTTTGCGCGCGACGAATCATATGTTGTGTGAAATTATCATGTGAAACCGTCAAGGACACATGAATTCTTTTGTATTTAAAAGATTTAAGAATGACAACTGCTCTAATCTGCTCGACATTTTTTTTGGGGGTCGTGCTGTGAATGAACGGAGCGAATGTTGTGAATAATATGAAGACTCTTTTTAGTGATTTGAGTTTTTTTGACCTTGACATTTTGAATTGATTCATAATTATTTTTGATAATTATTTAAATTTAAAAATATTTAATTGTGTTTTGTTTTTTGAAGCTTTGAAGCTCTTTTTAATTTCATGTCGTTGCTTTATTTTAAATCAACGCTTTCAAATTTAGCTTCATGATAAGTCAACGCTTTGGAGCCTTGCTTCATTTTAAACTAACGTTTTTAGGCCTTGCTTTATCCTTAGTCAACGCTTTGAAGCTTTGCCTCATTCTTAGTCAACGCTTTGAAGCTTTGGTTCATTCTAAGCCAACACCTTAAGTCCTTGATTCATACTTTGTCAACACTTTAAAGCTTTGCTTCATCCTTACTCAACGCTTTGAAGCCTTGCTTTTTTCAAAGTTAATGTTTTGAAACATTGCTTCATTCTAAGTCAACGCTTTGGAGCCTTGCTTCATTTTCAACCAACGTTTTTAGGCCTTGCTTTATCCTTAGTCAACGCTTTAAAGCCTTGCGTCATTCTTAGTCAACGCTTTGAAGCTTTGCGTCATTCTTAGTCAACGCTTTGAAGCTTTGGTTCATTCTAAGCCAACACCTTAAGTCCTTGATTCATACTTTGTCAACACTTTAAAGCTTTGCTTCATCCTTACTCAACGCTTTGAAGCCTTGCTTCATTTTCAACCAACGTTTTTAGGCCTTGCTTTATCCTTAGTCAACGCTTTAAAGCTTTGCGTCATTCTTAGTCAACGCTTTGAAGCTTTGGTTCATTTTAAGTCAACGTTTTGAAACATTGCTTCATTCTAAACACCTAAAGTCCTTGTTTCATTCTAAATCAACGATTTGATGCCTTGTTTTATTATAGTGCGAGCCTTTGAATTAAAGCTTTGTAAATCGTAGGGAAGTTTGAGTTTATTAATCTTATTCCCATCTTACTTAATAATTTATAAAATTTATCATCCAAAAAGATTTTCAATTTACGCAAATTTTTGCAATTTATTAACCACCAATTTTTCTCCACCTCGTCGTCATCCAAAATCTTTCTACTCGAGCCTCATTAAAGTCATAAATTTATGATCTCATGAGAACCATTTCCCGTAAAATTTCACCAAGAGCCTCTTCATATCAATTTTTTATTATTTGAAAATATCTGTCATAATAAATCTCAGCGCGTGCAACGAATACGAACTGTGAGAAATATTTTATTTGAAAAATAAGGAAAATCAATGCTGGAGTAATAAAAATTGCATTAGCAGTCATTTATCAACAGGAGGTCAATTAGAAATTGAATTGTTTATAGAATTTTATATTATGAGATATTTTGCACGCGATATTAATTTTTTCTAATGATATGTTGAGGATAGTGATGGAAAATGGTGGAAATTGATGAAAAATTGATACGTAAAGTGTGATTAGTAACGAGTTATTACGTGTTGAATCGTGAGAGGATGCAATATGGTTGCAACTAAGGAAGGAAATGATGAATCATGGTGGATTGTGAACGACAACTTAAAACTGAAGGACTGAATTGAAGCAATGACTTAAAACTGAAGCACTGACTTAAAATAAAGACTTGAAACTGAAGCACTGACTTAAAGTGATGACTTGAAACTGAAGCACTGACTTAAAGCAACGACTTAAAACTGAAGCACTGACTTAAAATGAGGACTTGAAACTGAAGCACTGACTTAAAGTGATGACTTGAAACTGAAGCACTGACTTAAAGCAATGACTTAAAACTGAAGCACTGACTTAAAGTAACGACTTGAAACTGAAGGACTAAATTGAAGCAATGACTTAAAACTGAAGCACTGACTTAAAATGAGGACTTGAAACTGAAGCACTGACTTAAAGTGATGACTTGAAACTGAAGCACTGACTTAAAGCAATGACTTAAAACTAAAGCACTGCCTTAAAGTGACGACTTGAAACTGAAGCACTGACTTGAAGCACTGATTTGAAACTGAAGTAACGACTTAAATATTTGTGCAATTGAATTTCAACTGCAAATTTAGCCTTCTTTGAGATTAAAGCCAAATTCAATAAGTTTCGCCACACTCATCGCCAAAACAAACAAAAAATTTCTTTCTCATCTCAATTCACTTCCCTCTGTGCATAATTTATGATTGCAATAATTAGTGTGAAGGTCGGTGCTTTTGTGTATTTTTGTTATCCGTTACAGAACGACAGCGTGACTCTCAATGACACCAGAAATTTATTTGACACATTTTGGTAATTTATTATTCAGCTATTTAAAGAAACTTATTTTGCATTCATTATATATTGAGCCAATTTTCGGTCTGTTGTTTTTTGGGGTTAATTTGTTGCAGTTTTGAATAATCGGCAAAGGTGGGATGAGAAAATTGAATTTTTGATGAGCTTTACGGTTAGTTTTATTGCTTTAAGTTGTTTTTGTTGAATTTTATGGGACACAGATGCGGCAGTTTGTTTGATTAACGATTATCTGCTGCAGTTTGTGCATTGTTGACTGTTTAATAGGAGACTGCAGTTTAAAGCTAATGAAAATTGCTACAATTTGTATGTTTTGCGTTTTGGGGAAAAGATTTGGTTGAAGACAATCGATTTGTTAAATATTTTAGTTGAAATAATATCTTTGTTTTAGGTAGCATTAGGTGTCCTAAGAGAAGAATTTGAATTTCAGCATAACGTGCGTCATATTCTGGAATAAACTATACACTCAGTTTACTAAAAAAAATTTAATACAGGTTAATTACCATTTTTAAGAATATTTAGAATTTAAGTCAATTATAGTTGCATCATGCGCCATATTTGAGGAGACATTAATGTTTCTTCTCAAATATGGCGCACGTTTCATCAAAAATTCACTAAACCTCCTCAACCTAAGTCCTAATACTGAAAATAAGCAAATCAGCATACAATTAATCTCTAATAAGTTCAAAGAGCATTTAAAGTAAGAATCTCAAAACTCATACTACCTCTAAAGACACTCAAGCACACGAGATCGCAAGCATGCCAAATTATTTTCAGACAAAAAAAGAAAATGACAACAACTGATCTTTATGTTTCGCATCATCACAAAGTTATTATTTTCTCCTACTATCATTTTCTTTCTATGTCACATGATAGACACTAAATGTTATATGACCGCGGCTAGCTTCATTTGCATTGGTGCGATGGAATAAATATCGAAAATTAAGTAAGCATCAAATGATTTTTTACTTTTTATTTATTTTAAAACAGCCGTAAAAGTGTGTGAAGTTTATGTCGAGTATGTAAATTCAGAAGTTAGGAGGCTTGGCTTCATGAAAGATTTATTTTCTATTTCTCGGATGTTTTGGGGTTAAAATGTACGAACAAGTTGATGATAAGTTTTTTATTAGTTTAGAAATTGTTTTATGATTTGTTGTTTGACCTCGACTAAGCAGACAACATTAATGAAAGTGTTAATGGCTCATAATTGTCAAGTGAAAGAGGTTTTTGGTGAGCTGAGAATTGATTAAGCTTAAATTGGAGATCATCTTATAATTTAGATCATTTAAGGATGTTTTTAAGGTAGCTTTGGGTGGCATATTAGTCAATCTAGTAAATTAAATATGATTTTTCAGTCAATTTAATGACAAACCACAAAAATAGATTCCAAATCAACAATTTTCCATTTTAATTTCCATTAAAAACCTAAAATAGATCTACAAACTTTAATAATTCATCATCTAAAAATACAAAACGGTTATTAATGAACTTCAGGCCAAACTTCTCATTTGACAAACTAATTTTATCCCTCTTTAAAATATATTTCACTAGCTTTTACTAAATTACAAGGCAAAGGTCCTCATTAATATTTTACAAATTTACAACAAAATGTTTTGCCTCGTTTGACATCGAAAAATGAGTGGAAAATAAAAAAATGTAATTTACTAGAATGTAGGCTCGTCATGTTTGCAGTTTTGTCTAAGTTTGTAGCATAACCTCAAACTTTTATGAACTTTTGAAATTTAAGCTTTATTTTTTAAGATTTAAATCTCAAAATGTGTAACAGGGGCCAGCTTCTAGGTTTACTTGGGGCACACTAGGCAAAAATGAAATTCGATGTAATTCAATTTCAGAAAACTATAAAAACCTACAAAAAACTATAAAACAAAATAAATTCCTGTGTGTCAACGCGGCACTAATCATCGGACAAATTCTTATTTTATTATTCAAGTTTCTCACGCCAACCGAAACTTTTAATATCTTTCGTTCGATTATTTTGTCGTCGTACGTTTTATTTTGCTATTTTTAA